GCACAATCTTTATCGCGTAGATTCCGTTCGTCGAGCTGCAACCTCACCACTGTCTTCAGCATCGTAGAGTGCCAGCATGGACTCCCACATGCCTTGAATTTCCCAGCAGAATGGTCAGTCGTTTGGTGTGAGGCCAGTAGTTCGAAGGCGACTTGCCCTTCGATGGTCTCACATTGATCGAATCCAGCAGTATTCCAGCAGCTCCTGCTGTTCTTCTTCTGCAGACCTCCGATTTTTTCTACTTCGTGTCCGACAACTTGCCCGTCCTGTAGGGTTTTTCCCAGCTTTGTCCGGTTTGTATCTCCGTAGAAGTCTTTCATTTTCATCAGTTCTTACGTACCCTACTTTGACTCCCCAAATGGGCCATAATCTTGACCTTGTAGAACCTGAACTTCTCATCTTTCCCATTCGAAGAGATGGGGGATACTTGCCAGACGATGACACCTCTACCTCCGTAGACATCTTTACTTACTCTCATTCTTCTCCTTTCTGTTTGACAACTGGATCCAAGCTCACTTCATTTCCTGATAGTTCGCTTTTAATACACGGTTGAACAAGGTGTGAATTGTAACGCACAATTTCTCTATATTAATCATATCCTTCCATCCTACTGTCTAGTAGACTGGCTATCTGTTTCCGTTTCTCTTTCTCTCTCGTTTCGAGATTGTAAGCTCTACAATGAGCTCCGATATGCCATACAATATATACCAGGATCTTTCGATCCACTGCTTCTCGCAGTTTCACTACAGATAGATCTCGTAATCTATCTTCCTGAAGTGCATGGTTGGCCCTGGAGGGCTTTCCCACTTTACTAAACCTATGGACCTTCATCCGTCCATTCATTTGCTCCGTCCCATCGCTCCTTGCATTCATCTCTTCGACCTAACTTCCTAACCTTTGTAGTTGCATCATCTAGCTAGACGACCATTGTCCTCGTTCCTCGTACTCCTGGCCATCTGATGATGATCGGATAACCATCTGATTTGAGTCACACATCCCCAATCACGAACCGTGATTGTGGATCCCGAGTCGTCTGTCCGTCATACGAAAATACCTTTCTGACAGAAATCCAGCAAAGCGCTGGAAGACTGGTTTAGAAGGGTAGTTGTGGTAAATATAGGGTCAAAGTTACTTTTACTCTGGATTTTTGTATAAAACTGTAATTTACCGCAACTACCTGAACTCAAAAGTTGTCTTCCGGGTTGGAGTTTGGCCTTGGGCTGTCCTCGAGTTGGTCCAGGGCCTGGAGTTGATCCTGGTGCTGGTACTGGTACTAGTACAGTCCAGGAGTGGGGCTTGGAGACCAAGTGGAGGTCCCGGTGTGGGTCGTATTGTCGGTGCAGGTGTGTGAGTTTTGTTGGTTCCGTTATGGGACCTGCGTGAAACTAGACATGTACTAGTTTCACGCAGAATCCCGTTTCCGCGCCCTGTCGTTCAGTATGAACTGTACAAGAGCTCTACGGTATTAATAAGGTCTTCTTCGAACTTCTGAAATTTGCCCCTCCAACAGAACAGACGCATAAGTCATGGGACGGACAAGGAATAAAAGAGTAAATTACTTGCGCCAAAAGAGTTCGAAGCAAGACCAACAGGTACCTGTACCATCCTTTGCCCGCAATACAGAAGCATAAGTTACAACATGAGCGAAAGCACAAGAGATATTCTCCTCAAATGAGCCGAATTGGAAGCTCGACAAAACCAACTTGATCAGTCAAGGGCTGCTGCCATGGAGGAAGATGAAGTGGACAAGAAACCGAAGGCCAAGAAGAAACCACCAAAGTCATATTCTCCTTCCCATATGGCTTTTTTGCCAAGAGAGAAACCAACAGGACAACAAGCCATTGCTCCATCTGAAATCTATGTCCAAGAGGACAGAGAATCAATGAACGTCGTGACAGAACAAGCTAGCCTAGCAACTGATGAGTGTCTACTAGAGGAAGAAAATCACACACAAGAATTCCACGACCTTCTTCAAATGGCAACCCAAATCAATGAGGCTGCCCTATTGGAAAAGCTGGCAAACAATAGCTCAGGAGTGGACCTTCTCCAAATGGCAACAGAAATCAATGAGGCTGCCAAATTGGAAAAGATGGCAAACAGTAACTCAGGAGCCCCAGGCTGGGAAGTCAATCCAACTGGCTCGCGCCTAACACCACCACACCAACAGAGACAGCTACAGCGCCCCGGAGCATACAGGGGTGCTCCAGGGGAAGCCCTACAACGTGCCAATACCCTCAGATTCTCACTTGTTGGTACCAATATTGAGTCACAGTTATCAACAATGGATTCTGAGAGTCAATCCTTGGAACCACCACCCCACAGCAACGGCAACAGCAATAGAAACAACAATGTGACCACAAGTAGTGGCCAACTGGCAGTGGCAGAGCCGGTTGACGAAGATCCAGAGGATCAAGTAATGCCATCAGCAGACCCTGTGAATCTTGACGAGATCATGGAAAAGGAACAAAGAAAGAAGACCCAGAGATTGTTGTTTGTTGGGTTTTCAGTTTTGGCACTTATCGTTGCTGCAGTTATTGTTGGTGCAGTCGTTGGAACAGCACAGAATCAAAAGAATGCAGGAAGCAGCATCCAGACATCTGCACCGGCTCTGGAACCCTCGGAAGCTCCGTCTCCTGCCCCAACTAATTATTTGGACTAACTCATGATGAACCTTCCAATCTCTACCCTTAGGAACATTGGCAACAGTAGCACCCCCCATTGGCACGCTTGGCAGTGGCTGTCAAATCACAAGAATCTGACGAAGCTCCAAGATTGGAGAAAGGAACAACTCTTTGCTTTGGCTACATTTTATTATGCATTTGAGGGCCCCAACTGGCCTGATCCAATCCGCAATGATTGGATGCAGGATGAGGGCAGACTTGAGGATGAGTGCCTGTGGTTTTCCACTTCTTTTGGGGAATTGTTTTTTGATGGTACTTACGTCGAGACTGATGCCAATATTGATCCATGCAACGAGGATGGCAGATATCAGCTTCTGGCACTTAGTCGCCTGCAACTTGCTAATCTCACTCCAGCTGTTCCACCTGAGATTGCACTTCTTACTGATCTGTCCATTTTGGCTTTGCCTTGGAACAATGTCAGGAGCGTTCCTCAATCGTGCATGAAACCGACCCTAAAATAGGGTCGGATTTAGGGTCGGATTCCCTTTAGGGTCGGGTTTCGAAACCGACCCTAAAAATAGAGACGTTTTCTGAAAAATAGGGACGGTTTCTGAAAAACCGTCCCTAATTTAGGGTCGGGTTTCGTTTTATGGTCGGGTTTGAAAAACGTCCCTAAATATAAACGGGACTGCCTGGTAAATACATTGAAAACGCACCAATATTAGGGTCGGGTTTCGAAACCGACCCTAAAAATAGGGACGTTTTCTGAAAAATAGGGACGGTTTCTGAAAAAACGTCCCTAATTTAGGGTCGGGTTTCGTTTTAGGGTCGGATTTAAAGTCATGCACGATTGAGGAACGCTCCAGTGGCACAATGGATGTCATTTTGCCAATAGAGGTCTTCACTATGGGAAACTTGGCAATGATCAACATTCATGGCAACGATCTTACAGGACAACTGCCATCCGAGGTTGGACTTCTGACAAGTCTGACATACCTTCAAGTGTCAATGAACCAATTCGATGGACCCATACCCACGGATATTGGAAGACTGACCAGCATTCAAAGGTTAAGAATATACAGCAACGTTTTCACGGGATCTCTTCCAAGTGAGCTTGGGCAGTTGACCAACATGACAAGTTTCAGTTGCTACCTGAACTCCATCAATGGTAGCTTGCCAACCAACTTGGGTAGGCTGACCGGCATTCAATCGCTAAGAATGTACAGCAATGATTTTACAGGGTCAGTTCCAAGCGAGCTTGGGCAGTTGACCAACATGACAGATTTGCAGGTGTCTCGAAACGCTCTCAGTGGTAGTTTGCCAACTGACTTGGGTAGGTTGGCCGGCATTCAAGTGCTACTCGCCCACAGGAACGCCTTCTCAGGGTTTCTTCCAAGTGAGCTGGGGAAGTTGATCAACATGACAAGGTTTAGCTGCTACCGGAACTCCCTCAATGGCAGCATACCATCTGAGCTTGGGTGGTTGACCAGCATGGAACAGTTGACAGTTTACAGAAACACTTTTACAGGGTCTCTTCCAAGCGAGCTAGGTCTAATGACCAACATGACAAGTTTCAGTTGCTACCTGAACTCCATCGATGGCAGTGTGCCGACCGACTTGGGTAGGCTGACCAGCATTCAAGTGCTAAGAATGTACAGCAATGATTTTACAGGGTCAGTTCCAAGCGAGCTTGGGCAGTTGACCAGCATGACTAATTTTCAGGTTTCTCAAAACTATCTCAGTGGTATGTTGCTGACCAACTGAGGTAGACTGACAGCATGCAAGACTTCAGAATATTTGACAATATCTTGACATGGTCTCTTCCAAGCGGGCTTGGTCGTATGGCAAGCTTGGACTCACTCAATCTTGCTTTGAATTCCTTCACAGGCTCTCAGCCCCATGAATTAGGGAGGCTATCCAATTTAACCAGGTTAAACATGAGGCACAATTTCCTTTCTGGTTCTCTGCCAACTGAAGCTGGACTACTGACACAACTGACTGCACTGAGTCTGAGAAGCAACTCATTCGATGGACCCCTGCCCAGTGAGCTTGGACTGCTGTCGAAGTTGACTCTAGTCTGTTGCTGAATGACTGTTTTTTCTCTGGTGTCATTCCTACTGAACTTGGGCTGATGAAATCGCTGCAGACACTGAACCTTGGTAACAATTCCTTTGTTGGTTTAGTCATCTCCGAATTGGGGCAGCTTGGAAATCTACAAGAGCTGGATCTTTCAGTGAACCCACCCTCCCTGAGAGGGCCGTTCCCTTTCGATTCCTTGCCTGGTAGCCTAGGATATCTGAATATCTCTGGCAGTCCTGGTTTAGTTGGTTTCATTCCAGAAGAGCTCTGTTTCTTTCAAAATTCCTCTTGCTCTTATGGTGGGGAAGATGCTCAGTGCTACATTGACTTTGATTGTTCCAACCTACTCTGTGGATGTGATTGTGAATGTTGAGTGGTTCGAGTAGAATTATTCCATTGATTAGCAAATCCATCTGTCTGTACTATGCATTGCTTTTAAAAAGGTGGAACAAACACAGGCTGCTAAGTTCCATTGGTTATTGGTTGTCACCTACTAGCTAGCTTGCAATAAGAGCTCAAAAACTCCTGCCGGCCCTCCAAAACCTGACATCAGACTCTCTGCTGTCTGCGCTCTTGGGGTGTTGATGAAGGAGTCACTGAGTTTGGAAATGGAGTTGGGCCTTGAGCATGTCCTCGAGTTGAGTTGGTGTTGGGCCTGGAGTGGAGCCCGGAGTGGCAGCCAGTGGTGGGCTCTGGAGGTCGATCAGTCCATCGGATCCAACTGGTGTGGCTCTCCAGCCACGATCAGCTTTACAACAACCAGTCAGCGAGCTAGACTTATGAAAAATAATGACACGAACTCGAACACAATCTTGCACCGCAAGGCTTTTATAATCAAGCCTCAAGGCCTCCGTCTGCCACATCCATGCGGTGACATAGTACCACCAGAAGTAAGCACATCCATGCCCGAGACAGCCACGAGCCCCCCGTTCCCCTTTCTCACCGGACAACCCCGCCCTACCGGTATCACTTTCCCTCCCAGGTGCGGCTTGTCAAGAGATCACCAATCAAGTACGTCTGAACATCTTTCACAGAAGAAGGGCCAACTGACACCGCCATGGATGCACGTCGCCTTGATATGTAACGTTCTTCCGTAGCAGCCTTGCTGTACCGAAGTAAATCCATGCCACGTCCGAGGGTTCCTTCGTTGGTCTTCTCCGAGGGCTGACCAACACCTTGCAATGCGTTGATTGCAACTTCGCGAACGTTCCTGCTGATTTGATCTCTTAGAATTGAGTGAGCCCAGTGCGCCTTTCCTAATCGGGGAGGAGTGGGGTTCACATTGCGAAAGCGCTTCAGCACTTTCTTTGGGGGGGGATTGAAAATGACATTGGAAGCCTCTTCGAGCTCGGGAAAGACCTGCATCATAAGCGTTTCGGATTGGTTCGCTTGGGTTCGTTCCATCCCTGGTAAAAATATCAATGAGCGCTAGCGTCAGCGGACACGTAGTTAAGCAAAGTAACAACATGAACAAAGTAACACTTACAGACGATTTCAGCCAATCGATACTTTTTGTTCTTCTCTTTCATGTCGATGTTGAACAACCCAAGAAGAGTGCAAAGTAGCGCCGCCGTCTCTGGCCTGTCTGCGGAAATGCGGTGATAAATCTGAATTCTCTCTGCTTCGACACGATCCGAGGCCAGTCTGAGCTCGGTGCTCCTTCGTTCTTCGGCTGGGAACAGCAACACAGAAACGGTCAGTTGTTGCACTTTCAGACACCGCCAAAATGTGTGATCCGTAATACCGAGCTGTTTCGCAAGGCGCAATTCTTCAGCATGGTTCTCACGAGCCTCGAGCTCAGCATAATCGTTCGAATTGAAGTCAACTTCCAAGAAAATCCAAAGCCGCTCCAGCTCTGATTCAGCAATGCGAAGGCGCAGAAAACCACATTCTTCCGATATCATCGGCCAGAACTTTGTTCTATAAGACAGCGGAGTGTGCACTCGACTCCACAGGAGAAAGATTTGTTCGCGGTACCTGGACATTCGACGCTTGTTGAGTGATGACATGCGTTTTCTTGTCAAGAAGCCTCGGCTCCTCGCCTGCACCTTCGCTATAAGATCACGCAGCAACTTCAAGCCAAACTGGGCCCGTCGAGAACGCACTAGCATCTGGATTCTCTTGCATGCCCTCTCCAACTTCCTGCAGTGCTTCCTGCAGGCTGCACCTCGAAACCATCTCTGTATGAGTACAATTGCTGCTCGTTTCTTTCTGAACCCTTGAATCAGCAGAAAAGATCGGCAGAGGCGTTGGAGTTTTGCAATTGATTGTCGGGCCCTCTCAAGTTGATCCATTTCAGATAGCCCTTCGGGAACGTGTCTTCTCCACTTGTACTGAAGCAGACGAAGTGCTTTCAAGAACCGAACATATTTTCTCCTTGCCATTTGCATCCTCCAGGTGGACTGGATAACGCAAACTACCTCGAGAATTATTCCCTTGATGCGGCGAGCATTCACAAGCACTGCTTGTGCCGAGGTGAGGGTGGCCGCCGACAGATCCTTAAAGAAACCAGCCTTCATGAAGTCTCCCCTTTTTTTCTCCTTAGAAGGTTTTGCTTTGCCACCAGGTTCCTTTCGCCCTGACAAACTTGACCAACTGTCTTCTAGCCATGTACCGGTAGTGTTTGCATTGCCTTTGGATTGCGACAGAGCGCCAATGGCAGATTCCAGACTCTTGTATCCCTGTTTGGCTGCCCAGTAGAAGGCCGTCGGCGTCGTTGCTGCAGGCGCCAGTGACCTGGCCAATATCTCGTGCTGCCAGGAAGAGGAAGGCGATTGATTTGATGAATTTGGCAAGACAACAGCTGGAAGTGTACGGAGTGCACTCCCTCGGCGTTCTGCTTTCCATTTCATCGGTTTTCTGACCTTCCCAAAAAGGTCCTGGTTGAACTTTGGAAAAGATCCGTAGTGGTATGAGCGCCCATCATCGGGCAAGCCCCAGTTGGACGGAGGGGGTGGAGTGAAAGTTTCTGATATGGCGCCTGAGGGATCGTCGAGAAACGGGGTATCCTTCTGCCGCACATTTAGCATTCTAGAGCGATTTTGCTTGGCAATAATGCATTCATCGAAAAACAGGAAGAGAGGGTCGCAAGGGTCGTTTTGTCGCTCTTCCAGGAAACGCTGGAACATTTGAGTTTTCACCACTTTCTCGACAAACTGATAACTACCGACCGACAAGTTCAGATCCGCAAGGAATTCCTCCACACGGAAAAGGTTGTTGTGGTTGTCGACGTTCAAGAACTGTTCGTAACCCTTCAATAAGGAGACGAAGAAGCGCAAAAATGCATTTCGAATCTCGCTTGAATTGAACCCAGGTGGCTGCAACGCCAGAAAAGCAAGGATGAACATGAATTTAGTTGTTCCCTGCGAGAGCCCATTACGATTCAAGCTCGCTCACGTTTGGAACTTACCTCATCCATATCTAGAAGGAACCCATGCTGATGAGAATGCGCATGGTTTGTCATGGTGAAAGAGACACTGCCATGTCCGCTGAAATGTGCACTGGCGTCTTCTTCAGCGAGCGACGACTGGCTTCGCAGACGACGAAGATTAAAGATCTTCCCCATTCCACTTCTATGCACTCTTATCTGACGAGCAGGCTCCCGACCGTACAGCTGCCCTTGTTCCGACAGGAACCCAGTAATAGGCGTCAACAGTTCATTTTCTTGATACGCCTTGTCCACAGTCCGTAGCACATTTCGTCGACGCACTGTGCTCCCACGGTCGTTTCGTCTGCGAAACTCTTCGTTGCCAGGAAGGCTACTGCTCTCCTTGATGGACGCAGCGGCCGACGGGGAATAGAAGGTTGTCGCATATGCCTCGCGCTTGGAGTCGGACAATATTCTACCATATCCTGAGGTAATGGTATTCCCCTCCAGCTTGGCGTTGTCTGGTGTCACATACACAGACGACCCGTGCTCTTCCAACTTGGCCCTCAATTTGAGAGCCCCCCGTTCTGGCAAAGCTGGCACCAATCGAAACGCATTGCTCTCTTCATTGTACCCTAGATGAACAATATCCCGATCGATATCGACGAAGACCACTCCCTGCGGTCTCATGTCTGGCTTTGTCTCGATTAAATACCGTATATGCAGCCCAACCAAGAACGGGACTGGCGCGTCCAAAATATCCAACAAGGCGTACGGCATTACAGGAATGTACATTCCTTGCCATTGCAGGGGAAACAAGAAGGACAGTAAGGCTTCTGCAATAGGCGCCAACAAGGCATAATGACGGGAACAAAGAGCGACCCGTGATTCTTCCATGAGACACCCAAGCAAAGTCATAATGTTTCCCGGACTGAGACAGGCAAAAATTGGTTTGTAGGAGAAGCTGGCCAGGGGCAGCTGGTTCTCCGGTGGTCTCTGGATTGACCAGATGTCTTTGACCGTGAACCCAAACTTGACTTCGACTTTTCCAAGAGGAGGAAGCGGGACTTCGCAGCAGAAATTGGCAATGAATCGCTCTATGGGAAGCGGTGCTTCCACCAAAGTGATGCGATACAGTTGAAGCAGAAAATTCCGAAAGAGATCAAAGAATTGATAGTGCGATAGAACCACCAAGCACTTTGGCAGGTAGACAATATCCACGTAATCAGATGAATTGCGCGAGGAATCTACTGAAAGCCCACCAGAAACCGATGGAGGAGTCGACAACCACGAGGGGTAAGCCCCCGTGTATCCAGACTTTTCAATGATCTCCTGCAATTCCTGAGTTTCAATGGCTTCGTCGTACAATTGCAGTGATGCCCCGTAGAGTCGGCGCCCCGACGCGGCAGTCAACACAAAAGTGAAGAAGACTGGTGACTTTTGGGAATCACTGGGACGGCAGCCTTCCGGCATGACAAAGGTTGCCACGTGCTCGGGAAACTCCATGTCCGGGTGATGGGTAGTCGATGGGTAACAGTCGATGACACGGGGTTCCAAATCCAAGTCTTCGGGCCCTGTCAAAGTCGACAGATCCAAGTCTTCTCTCTGCAACAGCCGTGGATCCAAAAAGCCCGAGGATCCCACGACACAAAAATAATCGACCAACCGTTCTGGCAAGGCTGATATGGGCTCTGCTGCTAGAGGCATTCCACTTGTATTGTCAGTTTTCCCACCATTGTGCCTCTCGTATTGGTCCATACCATGCCTGCGATGCAATGTCAAGGCAATCAAATTGTTTAATTCCACGGCAGCCGCCCCGTTTTGTCGTGCCCAATCGTTGCTTTGTACCAATCGTTTCCACGCTTTGATTGATGTCGGGCTCCCCCCCAAGGGTGGTAACACAAATCCCATGGCCTCGTACTTGGCCCTACAAAATACCAATCGATCTGACACTTGACTGGAATGATTGGGCCGTCGTCGTCGCCACGGTTCGGGCAAGTAGGCCTCGTAAATTTGCCACCCCATGGTATTCCCTCCCGCCCGTTTCATGGCCAAGGCTTCTTCGGCCGTCCAACTTTGATACTCTTGCACGTGCCGTACAATGGTCACCTTGTCTCCCATGACTCGATGTGCGTGAGCACATTGGGCGCACAAGAACACCCCATGACCGGGCACATGCCGATAAACCAAACTAGCTGGATCAATGGCGGGCATGTGAAACGCACGGGCCGAAGACTGACGATTTGGCACGGGTGATTTGGACTTTGGTGGTGGAGACGACCGCGAGGGAGACGATGCGGCAGATCGAGCCACAAAACTCCCATTGGGTGGTTCCGAAAGTGGTGGTAGCGGTGGTTGTTCCTGTGGGGGAGATGTGGGTTGTCGTTGCGCTGCATCAGGTGGTGACCAAGGGTCTGATGCTTTATAGGGATTGTGAATTGTGAATTCCCTCGTACTTTGACTCATGGCATGGAAGTCTCTGGCAGCTTCAGTAATGTTCGCAAATTCCTTTGTACTCTGATTGAGGGGTCCGTGGTGAGTGTACCGATCCAATTCGTTCCTGCCGTTGCTCCGTTTGGGTGACTTGGAGCGGTTACCATTCGTTGTGACTTGTTTATTACTTTTTCCGACCACATGATTGGCGGATGCACTGCTATTTCGGGTTGTTTCTAGTGTTGGAAACGGCGGGGCAAAGGCATGATGTGCATCTGAGAAATTCCTGCGTTCCATCAAATCACTCCTTGTCAATTGTTTTGGCATCGTATCCCGGCCATTCAGATGAGGAGGTCGAAAGGAAGCATGAACTTGACTGGAATCCACCAGAGCTGATCGGCAGTCCGCACAGCATCGATTGGAGGGATTATGGAGCAGTTGATTGATGGTTTTTGCCACAGAAATCATGGGAGCGGCACTCCCATGATGCGAAGTACTTTGAGACGCTGTCGCAGTACTATTGCTGTTGCTGCTTTGATCCCCAAGCTCGCTTGCTGCGTCATAGAATTGCTCTTCTGTGGTGGGTTCCGACCAGGTTTTTTGTCGAGTGACGGGCTTTCGTTTGCGCAAGGGTATAATACTGGTTGCTACGCCACCAGCAGCCTGACGACGCGGAGTCAGTGAAGTGCTTCTTTGAGAATGGGAGATATTGTCATACCCAGCCAGGCGAGAGCGAGGAGCCGGTGCTGGCGGGGACATGATATGTTGGCCGGGAGACTTCATTTCTGGGTCGTATTATTCTTTCGCACTGTATACCTTAGACTAACGAGCTGGATACCCCTGCTTAATGGCTCTGATACCCCTGCTTAATGGCTCTGATACCCACCCCTGAAGAACGATAGTCTTGGATAATGCAGCTCAGTTGACGTATCCTTGGTCAGATAAGAGCTTGATAAAGATTCCCAGTTCAACAGGTGAGCCATGCATGGGAACGATAGAATCGAATCTACTAGTATTTCTTCGAGTTTCTGTCGGTCTCTCGTTCGTCAGTTCCAAACGCCAATTGCACCTTTCTGCTCAATGAAAATTGTTGCTAAGGTATTGAGATAGCTGAAGCAGTTCTCCCTCTGATGCTCGCTGTGGTTACACCTGTTCCTGTTCTGTAGACCCGGATCCCAAAGAGCTGCCCGTAATGGCGTGACGGTGTGACGGTGGACGTCGAGATGCTGAGACGCTTGCGACAGAAGCTGGTGAGGCTGCTGTAGAATAAGCCTGACAAGCCGGCTGATTGAAAAAGGCAAGAAAATGTTGGAGGCAGGTGAGCTCAACCTGCGACAGGCGTTAACTGGCTCTGACCGCTCGCGGGAGCTCTTTTGGTGCTCGCCCACGAAACACGCCGCCAAAATTCGGAGGGCCCGCAAAAAGCCATCGCTATCGCCATCATTCAAGCGATACATCGTCGTCGTCGAGCTCTGTCCTTGGCGGCAATGCATTCCCTCGAGAAATGCACAATAACCTACTGTATACCATCCTGTGAATCTCAAATATCGGTTCGTCTCTGGCGAAAAGGTCGTCGTCTTCTTCTTCTTCCTGATTGCGTTCACTCTGACGGTGGCGGTGTAGCATTAGATTTTGCAGAAGCAGTAGTAGCCAACAATGATGTCGCACAAGAAGAAGGACAGTGAGCCCATGACGGCCACAAAGCGACTATTGGCAGGGTTAAGAGATGGGAAAATGGCTGATGTAGAGCTGGTGGGAGATGACGGCATTCGAGTCCCCGCTCTGAGATGTGTCTTGGCCTGTGCCAGCCCTGTCATGCACAATCTCTTGTACGGAGATCCTGCGAGAGCCTCTTCCTCCGTTGTCAAGATTAGCGGGTGTAGCAACAAGACGTTACGAGCACTGGTGGAATACTGTTGCTCGGACGAGTTGAATGCATCCATCTGGGATGGATCCTGTCCTCCAGCCGAAATTGTCAAGGATATTGTCGCGTTGGCTCGTGTCTCACACGCCTATGGGATCCCCAATATGGAAGAACGAGTACTAGAAGGAATCAATCCTCTCATGGCTGCCATTCCGCCCCTGGCTTGTGTGGTCTTTAACTATGCCGATCCGTCTACGACACGAGCGATTCACAAATCGGCACTTGCCATGATTCGAGAAAAGCCATATGTATGCCTGCAGCAAGAAGGACAAAACGTGGGAGGGATGATCTGCTTGTCGCCCGAAAAGCTACAAGAAGTTATCCGAGATACCGGACTACAAGTTGACGAGCTCTTTCTCTTCAAGCAATTGATTCGATGGCGGTCTTACAATCGCAATGTATACGCCAACGCAACTGCAATATGCAAGCAGCTTGTATCCTATATCGATCTGAACTACATTGACCCCGGCGATATCAAGAACTTTGTGATTGATTCTGGATTGGTCGAAGACAAATCCATCATTGATGCCCTACTGGAACAGTCTATCGCCGCTACTCGGGAAGGTCTGGCTTATGCTGCAATGCGTGGTAACATGGGAAAAGACCAAATCTATGCGATGGTGCAAGGGGCAGGAACGCCGGAATGCAATGGATTGTACAAGCAGATTCATAAGGAGGGAACCTTGATGTGCTACGGAAAAGTGGTTGACGAGAAGAGAATGATGCTTCTCTTGAAGGACAATCATACCAGTTGGAAGATCTGCGATCACGAGACACTTTACTATGAATGGACGTCTCACATTGACAGTCATCACGACCAATACCCAGTCTCTGGTTGGGTCGCCGCGTCTCACAATGCTTCCACCATGCCAACTCCCACCATCAAATGGTTCCGTCCTCGCGGAAAATCGCCTCGTCTTCCAAGATCTGCCGCCCCTTCTTCTTCTTCCTCTGTACCACATCTACCACCCGCCTCTACCCGCATCCCCATCAACCCTGCTTCGTCCTTTGATGGACGCCCTTCCCCCGGCGAGAAGGGTCTCTCCAGTACAAGTCATCTTCATCAACACATCCGTCATCATCACTCCATGGACGAAACCGACTCCCACTCTCGAGGTGAATCCAACTCGCCCACTCCCATGAGCCAACACTTACGACGAACCTCCTCTCGAGGTGAGCCCATCTCACCCACTCCCATGACACCACACTCACGACGATCTCCTTCACCACAGTCGTCCTACCCACAACATAGTGGACTTAGCAGCTCCAGCAGCAGTGGTCTCCCATCCCATTTGTCATCTCCCTCTGTTCATCACGGCATCCATTCCATTCCCAGTAGGGAACATCATGCGTATCATAATTCTTCTGCTTCTCAACATTCCTCTGCTCAAAGTTATCACCACCACCATCACCACCGCGACGCACCAAGAGGAGCCACCAATTCTCCACAAACACCCGTGGCGGTGCGTATTTCCCCGCGAACACCGAGTCCTCGGTTGAGCTTTTCTACCATGCCACCTGTCAAAGAGTCTGTATCATGGGCAATCTAAAATGTATATTTTTTAAATCAGCTAGCACTAGCTTTCATTCATTCATTCCAGGAGAGCAATGGGGGCGATTGCTATCCTCTTTTTGAAACATGTGCTGTTACTTCTACAAACTGAATTTGTTGAAATCATAACTACGGTATACTACATGCTTATTTTTATAAAAGAGACTAAGAAAACAACACTAGCTAGATGGTGGGTCATCACCTGACCTTCCAAAAAACCCAGACATGGCAGAACAGAAAGTCGATTGTTTCGAGTCAGTCCTGTACGTACTACTATCCTACTGGCGTCGTTGTTCGCACGACATCCACCGAGCATCGAAAGCCTGCCCGTTTCAGTGCCTTGGTCAACAACGGCAGTATCTTTTCTGGATCCTCTTTGTCATTCATGGCAAACTTGACCTTGGCTTTGCCCCCTTTGCGATTGCCTTCAAATAACCAGGAATCCACCGTCTGAATCTGCTGAATGTCTCTAGTATCCGACAGGGCCTTTTGCAGCGATTGGTTGACATTTTGCACACAGGCCACACATCCCATGGTAGGACAATCCAAGTAGACTGCGACATCCACCTTTTTATTGCTGGTAGTTTTAGAAGCATCCTTTTGGGCACTACTGCTGCTAGTAGTAGTACTGGTAGTAGATTGGGGCCTCCAGAACCACAGTCGCAACCGAGTATTCCACAAATGCAAGAATTCGGGCAAGAGCGCAATAGTCCATCTCAGGACCATGGAGGCGGGTGTTACTTGGTGTCGTGTGACGACAGTGAGGTAGGCTAACAGACTCAAAAAGAAGGGCCGTATGGGTCCCAAGTAAGTATTGAATTGGGCACATCCCAGAGCCGTGGTGGCATTCAATAGAATTTGGATCCAACAGCAAGCACTGGACAGAGTGGGCAGCAGCAGAGTTTGCAACCAGACGGAATTGGGCCGCAAGTTGGGGATTGGAACTTGCCGAAGTGTCAACCATAAAGACACGGAGCTCAGTATCAACCCCTGCCATACGCGGGGTGACCATATCAAATGATATTTTGCCAATGATGATGAGGAAGGCGGCTTCTCTTCGTCCTTTTTTGTCGAGAATAGCCGACTTCCAGAGGGCAACGGTTGTGGTGGTGGAAGAATGGTGGATTCGGGAATGCTGCCTTTCCAGGGTGAATTGCTGCGGGGCAATGAGAAGCAGTGGGCAGGTGCGACGACTGACAGAACCAACAGAATCTGCCACATCAGAACACGCCTTGTCGTCCGCATATTTCGAGTCTCTTCAAGTCGTCTCCTCGTCATCTTCTTGGGCTGTGTGTGGTTGGTTTGACGGAGGTTCTCCTTGGCCACAGAGATGATGGGCGTGAAGAAGCCATTCAAGCTGTGTAAGCATTCTAAGGACCGTCAAAGCAATTTGTTGGTTTGTCGCCGAGTGTTCCCCTTGGTTTTGGCGGTGGTTGGGCATTTATGGTGGAAGCTTTGGGACTTAGGTGAACAGAACCGGCAGGTTCAGTCGGCTGTTCTCCATACTCTTGGAGTACTCCATCCATTATCTATTAGCGTTCCAGTAACAAGCCATGTCGAGGTGACCAAGCAGTTTCAATCCACAAGTGCTTCAAGCGCAACCATGCAGGAGAAAGTTTCAGAGGTCCTTCTCTCCAACTTCATTACCTTTCTTCCTTTCTTTATGATAGCTCTCACCTCAATACTCTTTGCTCGCTAAACTGGGAGAGAATCTTTGATGCTGGAGAGAGAGATAAGAATGGGTGTTATAAGCAATAATGAAGAGAATGAAGGGGCGCCACAGCAACAAGAGGACGAAAAGAGGAGCCAACAAGCACCTGTCGATGCAACAACATTCCGTGTAGTGGAACAGGATGCTGAAGATTCCACGGTGTCGTCAGCAAGAAGCCGCAAGAGTCAAATGTCAGACCCCACATGGGGTCTGAGTCGAGGTGCATCGAAGGGAGAGACTCCCATGGTCGCCACTGCCGGAAGCATTCCCCGACGTCCCAGGCCCACAGCGCGGCAAGTCTCTTCGGGCGAAGCTCCTCCCATGCCCAGTGCCCGTTCCTCCCGAAGAGGCGGCAATAGAAGATCGCGACGTGGACAACAACAACAACAACAACAACAGCGAGTAGAAGAAGAAAAGCAAGAAGAAAAAGAAGCGATACCACCCCCAACCAATCCTTTAGAGCAGTGTCAGAGCAGCATGGCGATGCTCAAGCGGACGGGAATTCTCGATTCCAGTGGTGACTTTGTGGCTCCGATTGATGGGATTGAGCCATTGCCGTCCAATGGCAACGACAGGAACAGCAACGACAACAACAACAACAACAACACACTAGTAGCAATAATACGGCACGCGCTCCAACTCGACCCGGAGCCGTGGCCGTCAGACCCACCATGGTATCAACAACAACGACACAGGCACAAGACGATGATGACGAGAATACGATTCACATTGGCGACGAAGGCGAAGCCAGCCCTCCGTCTCCCATCCCGGACCGTCATCATCATCATCCAGAAGAATTCCTCATTGAAGCTACATTGGTGGAAGAAGGATTGTCCACGTCCTTTCGTGTTGTGCCACCACCAATAACGAATGATGCGGATGACTTTGTCGATGAAGAAGGAACAACAGCATCCGAGTCGTTTGTGGCCCCAGATGCCATCCCGCAGACACCACTCTTGCATGACATGAATCATCATCAGATTGTCATTCAGGCAGAAAAAACAGAATCCACCGACCATAAGATTCGAAGATTGCAACTCTTTATTGCGGGACTGGTCTGTTGCGTGGTTGTGGCTTTTATCATTACCATGGCGGTAGCACTGGCGCTCATCAATCGAGGATCGCAACCACAACAGCAAGATGCGGCAGTGGTGTCTTCGGCGGCGCCAACTATACCGGTATCGTCCACTGTGGAACCCAACAACATCTTTGATCATTCCACCGCGGCTCCGACGGCGTCGGCCACAGAGGAAGACTACACAGGTAGACCCTGGGACGATCCAAATGCACCACACAACAATATAGATTGCAATGGACCTGGTGGATTCGGTCCACCACCGAATGGTGGTCCATCGGGTGGTCCACCAGGGAGGTCGCTACAGGCAAGACAGCCTGGCGGAGGGCCTCCAGGTTGCAATGATGGGCCTAGTGGACCCGGCAACAATGGGCCTGGCAACAATGGGCCCTCTGACGGCGGACCAGGCAACAATGGGCCAGGACCTGGGCCAGGCAACGATGGACTCGATGACACAGGACCCGCTATCGAAGACGGGAACGACAGTCCGGATGTAGGGACAGGAGAATTGCCTGGTGACGAACCGACAGACGACGGCAACAATGCTGTGGAAACAGACGCCTTATTGCCTCAAAATGAAACTGACAGCGTAGATGACATTGCTCTGATGTTGAATGAGACTGTGCTTATCCCCACAAATGTTTCGACGACTGCATCAGCAAACGCAAGCGATGCCCTCTCTGGCTCGAACTTCACATTGCCTGTCTCAAACTCCACGGACAATGTTGCTACTCCCATCCTATCACCACCGCCGCCCGGTTAGCTAGTTTCGTTACAGAGTATAATGCCAAATGTATACATGTACTTACTAGCTAGCTACTGTGGTGCCGGTACAAGATCGAAAGCCTCTCCCAGGATCGGATCGTTAGCAGGAGCCATGAATATGCTACCGCCCAGCTAGCTAGCCAGCGGGAAACCATTGCAGAATTCCTTTGTACTGCATGACTTGGTAAACGAGTCGAGTCACATGAATCGAGTACTACGTTATATTTTATGAAGTAGCATTGTTGCCCAACAAATCCCCTGTTACCCTAGCTAGGGCCAATGGCTTCAAGAATCCAAAGGCTCTTCTCCATACTCTGCCTTGACCCTTTCCAACATGTCTTTCGTGACCTCTTCTCCTTTTGTCTTCCACTCTGCAAGGTTCTTTGTTGCGTAGTTCAGATATTCATCGCTGGAAACACCAAACACTCCACATTCCTTGAGCTTTTTGGCCAGCGGAATGATGTAGAATGTGAAGAAACCAATTTCACCCTTGTACCAAAACTCCGAGGGATCCTTCTCCGCCCTTCCATCTCGATAGGCACGATACATTTCCATGAACAGTCGCTCATTCCTGTGGCAAAGAGAAGGGTCAGCAAAGCCATGGGTTAAAAAGAATATCATGAATCGAATCCAAGCAGGAACAAAGAGACATACCACTTTCTGTAGATGTGCCAATGCTGCATGGTGTGCGAAATGTCAGAGGCCTGGATCAAGTGCTCAATCTGCAAGAAGGAACGTGCGTGTGAGAAGCACAGTATTGCTACCTGCTAAGACCTCTCTTAGATTCGATCAACGCATCGACTTACAACAATGGTGGCCTTGCGATTGATGTCTATGCTAGGATCTGTTTCTACAAACTCTCCTTTGAAAGCTTTGTCCCACCTGCCATTACGGAGCTCCTTAAGTTCCTTATCCACGATACTAGAGCAACCAGGACGGAGCAAGTTTGTGAGGAAGTGAAGGACAACATGGTGATCCATCAACTTGATCCATGCATGCTTGAGACTTACTCAGTTGCCATCACAGAGTTCACAACTAGTTGACGGAAGCGGGCAAACTCTGCCTCTGTTCCACAGATAGCATCCCTTAACTTCTTGAACCTGGGCTCCATCAACAGATTCCAAGAACGATCCACAGAGTTCTGCTCGGCCACGCTCTTGCCCTTGTAGCGGATTGCAAGTTCTGTCTCTTCTTTGACAAGCTGCGCATTAGTGACACCATCGTGATCGACGTCATGGATCAGCCCTGACAGTACCACTGAAAACTGAGTAAGTGGGTCCGACGTGATGCTGTTTGTTTTCATGCAAAAGGTGAGACTTTCATAGCACGGAGACAAAACATGAGGGTTGCAACCAACCATTGTAACTCACCCGTATGTGTGGCTGCACCAAAATGGAGAGGACAAGCAAGAAGGGCATGAGTAGAAGCTTCTTACAAGCTCACTTGTCCAAAACCTCTGAATACGTACTCATGCATCTTGGAAGCAATATTTTTCATCAGCTTCTTTTCATTGGTAATGTTGGAGTCATCATATTCCAAATCAGCTGGGGCCACAATCCGAGAAAGGAGCTTCACTACCGACATGGTGACATGTGATGCATGCTTAAAGAGGAGATGAAGGTGGTGAGACTCTACCAGGTACCAGCAACGCAACAGCCATTTTTGCATCACACACAATCCAACTACAAACCTCAAAATTGTGGAAAGGATTGTCATGGTACATGCCAGCAAGTTCAGCAACAAAGTCGTGCAACTGCATGGAAACATCAGACGGCAAAGCCACTTCCTCGGCTCGTTGGATTGCTCCAGCCACTTTGGAGTTGAATTTGGGCAACTGGATGACCTCGCATACCTCCTCTAAAACCATCTCAGGTTTAGCATGCTCTACAGCAAGCTTGCCCTTGGAATCAGAACCTTTTCCAAAGTGGACCTTATCAGAAACTTTTCCAAAGTGGCCCCTATCTGTCACTTGACGCTTAGCAGCAATCTGACGGAGGACCCTTTGAAGAATATCAACATTCCATTCAATGAGTCTTGCATTCTTTCCCGACAGATCTTTTTTGCGATTCACAGTCCCTGAGTAGGATGCTTTTTTGTCCTCGGCGTTTTTGACAGATGCGTTTTCTATCAGCTCATTTCCAGTTGAAGCATCCAAGGAAACGTTGTCTGGAGCAAAGCTGCCTACTTCTGAAAGTCCATCGCCATTAGACGAGTGATCAGAGAGAGATAACCAGTAGGTGACCATTTCACCTTTTCCTTTTGCAGTCACTTTGTCCGCCCTCTCCTTGAGCCATGCACCCTTCCCAGATTCTTTCACCTCTTCTGCTGTTTCCAGGCTCACATGAATACAGCCCTTCTTTCCTGTGGACTCCATCCTTGAAGCTGTGTTGACAGTATCACCAAAAAGCTGAAACCTCGAACGCTCTCCTCGCAACACTCCAGCAGTCACAGGACCACTATGCAGTCCAAATCTCATGGTAAGGTCTCCTGAATATGCCAGAAAAGCCCAGTAGTTAGTAACATGGCTAGAACTAAGTCATGACCTATCCACTCCTGCCACCATGAATACTCACCAGTGTCTGGTCCCAGCATAACTTCAAGACTGCGTGTAACGTCATGCATCTTGTACATACAATCCCTCGCAAACTTGGCCATGACCAGTGCATGATGCTTGTTGGGTTCTTTGAATTGAAGGGTAATCTTCAAGTGAGAATTTGCAGGTTGCATAGTTCCTGGTAAATAGCCACATGCCCACACTCACCTGGCAATCCTGTTACGGCAACATAGCAATCGCCAATTGTCTCCACTGCAGGAAAACAATGTGAGGCCACAGAACCGAAATCACTCCTAGGCCGATCTCTCAAGCAAGGCGCAGCTGCTTACCCTTGAACACCTTTCGTCTCTTTGCAATTTCGTCAAATGCATGATAGATGCTTTCCAATAAACGAAAGACCTGGGTAGGTTCTCGCATGGAACTCCAAGCTGTGAAACCTACTCATAAAGACGAGACACACACGAGCAGACCGACCGACTGGTGAGTTGGGACTGTGTACATCATAATATTCACCATTTCAGTTTCAATCCCCACGACTCATAATAACAACGACAACCTACCCACAATATCCGCAAAGAGCACGGTACAGTGGGGGAACAGATCCGCAATGGGTTGATCGCTGCTCTTTACGGATCCTCCTCCCACCGAAGCGCCACCACCTCCTGATTCGCTGTTGTTGGCACTCATATTGTCGGTCAAAAAGTTTTTGAGTCGACCCCGACCCCCTCCTTGGCTGCTGCCCATGGTCTTTTTGCTCTTTTGACTTTGATTGTCACCTCCAAACAATCGATCTCGTACATTGGTCGGGAACAAGCTGGATACAATGGCGTTGGTTTTGGCGGCTTGACGAACGACCTTTTCGTTGCGGCGTTGAACGAACTTGTCGTAGGTAAAAAAGAAGAATGCCATGAGGAAAAAGGACGCGGCCACGATAAATGTGAAAACTTCGGGGATCATGGTGGAGAATTCCCTTCGCAACTCGGCCGAAGGGTAGACATCGACGGTATAGTCGCAGATATGAGTATCAGTAGTATTGTTGGAAGTAGTAATGTTGGGTTGCGTAATGAGATCCACCGTCACGACATGGCGATCGTAGATGATATCGTGATGATCGCCCGGTCCAATGTAAATGATTTCTCCGTTGGTATTTTCAAAGGTGTATTCGTCCCCGCAGCTGGTCTGGAGAACATAATAGACGCCACCTTGTCCTTCGGGGAGTAACAACGACAGGAACGTTTTCCAATTGAACAAGACTTCCAAAAAGCCCACAATGTCGGGGGTGGAATAGTTGAAATTTTGGTAGACTGGGAACACGAGGAGACTGGAGGGTGCCTCCTCGGTGACGCCTGCGGATTGAAGTAATCGGTTATCAACGATTCCTGACATGACCGGGCTATTGGTAACGACCATGGCATCAAAGATGGCCTTGACGGTGTCGGTGGACAAGACGTCGTAGTTGACGACGATAACGTCGGAAGGCGGAGGCGAGATTTGCCATCGGGGTGCGTAGGGCGGATGTCCCAGGTTGACGGTGCGATGTCCCTGTTCGTCGATTCGGTAGATATTGGAGGGTATTTTTTGTTCGGTTTCATTGGTTACAATGGCGACTTGTTCGGCTGTGGTGTACGTCTCAATCTGGTCGCCTTGTACCCACCATTGGTTGAATACAGAGTAGTCTTCCCATGCCTGTCGATTGGCTTCCGCGACGAGGGGACAAAAGGAGAAAAAGTCGACATGGGAGATATCTCTGGCATGATGCCCGTGTACCTCAAAGAAGGGCACGGTGACAAATGGAAAGACGGATTCACTAGTCTGAGCGTGCGCCGTAATCGAGTCCGTGACAGCCGTAAAGCTGTCATCGATACTGTTCTCCAGATCCACGGCGGTATCCTTGATGGTGACCACGTATTGATCAAACTGATAGAGCCAAACGACGAGAAGAACGAGTGTGAGATAGATACCCTGGGTATATAGCAGTAAGACAGAGATAACCAACTGAGGCTTGCAAGCAACAACCATACATACCGCGAGTAAGAATGTTTCCGTTTCGTTTCTCGAGAGGTAGATAAAGGATGCCATGGTGACAAAGGTGGCCGTAATGACCAGGACACCCGTCACGAGATCTCTCCATGTCTCGACGTTTTTGGTTTCCTTGCGTGTAAAGTTGCGCACTTCACGAAACTCGTCCTTGCCAGACGATGCATAAGCCGTCGAGCTTTCGCCGCTGGACGAGTTGCCATCTCCCAACGACGAATCTTCAACTTCGTCGCCGCTGTCTTCGCTCAGCAGACTCTCCACTTCGTCGTCAAACACCATGGTGTCTTGAGTTAGTTCAGATTGATTGACTGATGGATGGATGGAAGAAGGCTGGTATATACCCCAAGAGCTAGTTACGAGTAGTTATTACCTGATACCTGATGATGAGCAAGCTGGAAACGAATCCTGAAGAGATCAGCTGGGAGTGAAGAGTGAAGCACTTGGAGCACAAGGAGATGCAAAAGAAATAGAAGTGAATAAACGCTGTAGTAGACTAATGCTTTTGTTTGACGCTTTGACCATTGACCGCAAGCAAAAATAATGGAGCAAGGGAAAGTGGTCACTGGCAAAGATGAAAGAAGGGATCGGAGATTTAATTTTGAAGAACTAATGAATAATGACCGCCTGTCATTGTGATGGCGTGATGGCACAGCCACAGCATTACCGGCAGTATCATAGATCCGAGCTCCGGCAACCAGCGGTACCAGCCCCTTAGTTAGTACATCGTAGACGCAAGAGCTTTCTTCCTCCATCTTCCCTTGCTCCTTGCTCCAGAATCTGTTTTCCTACCATAACTCCGAAAGAGCTTTCCACCCTTCCAAGAAGAGGAACTAGCATTATGGCATACAAGCATACAAGCAAAAAACTGTCTGGAAGCAGCTGTTTCCCACGCTGCGGAGCCAATGATGTCAGTTTCGCCATCATGCTGTTCTTTAGACTTTCTAGGAACGTTTAGCCCTTATCAGTGATTTAAAAAAGATGGATACGACTGTACAGTAGATGAAATAAATAAAATAAAATAAATGAAGTGCGTCTTCGCGGTTTGGCTGTCATGTTTGTGCAGCTCGTAGCGTTTTACAGCTCGGCTCTTATGGTAAAATAGGGAATACTGTAGTTCAATGGATGCCACGGATAAGCTCACGCACGGATAATACCTCAATTGCCTCACGCCTTCAGCTCTTACCACAATTTTTTAACAATTCAATTAATTAAGCTTCCGAACGCCAATTTGGCCACCATTTTTTTGTTCAAGTGCGATGCAAGAGCAATACTGTCTATAGTACGGCTAAGTACCGTAAGGTATACAGTACTCATAAAACAGTAGTCAAGCTTTTTAAAAGAAGAGTATTTAAAAAAGGCTGAAGAAGGCACCATCCCAACAGAAAGCGTTTCGGGATCGGGATAGAAGGCAAAGGTTCTTCAAGAAGTGAGAAAGAATGGAGCTGATTCGTCATTCGATTCGATTCCATCAAGATTCAATGTGCACTTTCAAAAAAGAAGATTGGAATGATGAATCGAATCAGAATCTTTCAATCAAATCGAATGATGAATCTCAACCCTTCTTTCAAGGCAGCCCTGGCAACAACACCCGACTTCGTCGTGTGTTGCCGCCCGGTATCATTCCCTCATTGTAACATCATTTTTTATTTAAGCTGGCCCTGGCAACAACACCTGACTTCGTCGTGTGTTGCCGCCCGGTATCATTCCCTCATTATAACCTTCTTTTTTATTGAAGCTAGCCCTGGCGACAACACCCGACTTCGTCGTGTGTTGCCGCCCGCTAACCATAATTTTACAGCTGTCACTCCCGTATGTACCTGTAACTTTTGTAGCTTCTGCTGGCTTATTGTGTTGAGTGCACTAACCTTGAATGATCATGATTTATTCCTACCCCTAAATGAACCTTCAAGTTCCAGTTTTGTTGGCTTACGACTATCTCTATCCCTATATTTTGGCTTCACCCGAACAGGAAATGGGAAATAGAAAAAAGGAAATAGGATAGGAAATAGGAAATACCAAAAAGGGGTAGAGGGCTCAGGCAGATAGACTGCCGCGGTAAAAGGGGGTGAGGGCTCAGGCAGATAGACTGCCGAGGTAAAGTAGTCTAGATCTAGATCTACCTTGACCGATTCGCTACAAAGACTCAAATTCTAATGGTGCTAGCTAGTACCGCAGACGTCAGGGAGTATTGCTAGGTTGGAACGTTGGAACGAAAGAGGGCAAGTGGAAATAAATATTTCAATCAGTCTTTTGAACAAGAGAACTATGATACCTACGGCGCACCAGTACACGGACTGCTTTGTTTGGCAATTAACATAACATAACTAGCTAGTGTTTTGTTTGGAGACCGGTAGATAATTCATTCATTTACTTCTTGAACAGTGGAAGACCTTGCCCTACTGGAAGGCATACGGTCGTCCACCACCTACCGGAATCAATGATGTCTGTAGCAAGGATGAATGAAAGGAATGGCATTGCCATTCGTTATAGGCATGTGCCGACGACGAGTCCAGCGATGAGGAAGAATCTGCTGACGATTCCGAGAAGGACGACTCGGACACATCTTCCTCATCCGATGACTGTTGTGGTTGCTGCCATCCACATCCCTTGTCTGCCACGAGCTGCCCACAGAGTTCATCCGCCACATCTCGTACCAGTGCCGCATATTCCTCCATGTCGTAGGCTTGACGGGTGCGAGGATTCTCCAACGTCGGCTCGGCCATGGACCATGCATTCCCATCGCAATGCAAGTATTGCATCGTGTCGATGGAATTAAAAGCCGGATCCAGTGCGGCTCGCAAGGCCGATCGGGCGGCTTGACTGTGACTGAGCCCCACAAAGCGTGAAGATAACGATGCACGACGAGGCGAGGGGGTGTTTCCCGAAGGAGATGTCGCATACGACAAGACTCCCGGGTCGACACAAATGGCGGCCAACATGGGTTCTTCATTGGCCAAAGCAACGGTATCGGCCATGAGTGCAAACTTGCTTCTGTAGTATTGGTCCAACCCGGTGCTGCCTTCTTCCGACGAGGGCACTGCATACTGCCAATGATACTCATTCCATACAACAGTCCCTTCCGGAGCTCCTCCTTCTCGTGGAAGTTTCCGCAATCGGTGGGGATCAAAATGACAACCACGACAATGTCCCACACTCGCTTGTTGAATGAGCCGTGGCTTGAACGTATCGGTAGCAGCCGCTCGCAAGAGGGGCAGTAATAAGTCGGCCAACAATCGCGGTGCCAGATAGTTGCGTCCGACATTGGCATCAACACCTTCTTCGGTTGTCACGTATTGTTCCGACACTTGTCCATCGAGATTGATTAATGCGTGGACGCGTCCTTGATGATGCTTTTGGGCCAACTTGGAAATATCGCGGGCGGCCTTGGAGACAGATCGCAAACTGTTGGGATTCATGCGCACGCACATGATTTTGGGAGGTTCCGTGGTCGGCACCAAACTTCCCGCGCGAGCTTTGCGTTTGAGAAACTCTTCGGTAATGTCCGTAGCTGCGGCCAAGAGACTCTTACTATTGTTGCCAGGTCCGACCAAGATAACGTCCATGTCAGCGGCCACAACCAATTCTTCGGCGACATGGTAGGCTGTACAGCCTCGAGATTGTGTCACCCCCGAGACGACGGCCAATTGACGATAACACTGTTGGGCGGCGATGGGTGCTTCTCGTTGTAGTAGGCGTTCCACGTATTTGCGCGCCGATGGAAATGTGAGCATGTTGGAGACAATACTCGATGTCTGATGGTGGCGCACCAAGTCGTACGTTTCTTCGCACAGAGCCTTGTCGACTGGAATGCTGGGATTGCCAGATGTCGTCATGGTGTTAACTAAGATACCCTTCTGTACTACGGTACTGTAGTTGCTTGTTGTTGGTTGTTGATTGAATGTTACCGTTAGTTGATTGATGCGTTGACCGGTTCAAAATCTGTGGGGAGATTTTGTCGAACTCAAAGATAGAACTGGCAAAGGAGGATACGGTACTGCACTGCCACCTGCTGGCAAGAGAAAATGATCTAGCTAGAGGTGTTGTTGTAGTATGGAGATAAGATGCTTATCAACTTGACTAGGCAGATAATGAGATGCAGGTAAGATGCCTCCTGGTGCGATTTGGTAGGGACGGTATTGGAGCTTTTCAATACCCCGCCAAAGGTCGCAAATTGTGAGCGTTGCGTGGAAGGGCGCAACGAGAACTGCTTGCATCCGAAAACACAAACCCCAAATAGATTGGTCGGGATTGGAGTTCTGCAATGGTTCATTGAAAGAAATAAAGAGCTGTGGGTGTTACTTCCCCTCTTCTGTGTTTATTAAATCTGCATGGACAAAGTTTCAGAGGGCATCCGTGAATCAAAAAGCCGTTGCGCTTGTCGGTGGGTTTGCTACATGCACACATGCACACTGTCAGGTTGTCAGGTTGTCAAGAGTGAAGCCCACTTGGAGAGTACCGGTATCGTACCTGGTACGTTAGTCTAGCTGTGGAGAGTTGGTTGATGCCACGGTGTCACCTTGTTTCCAAGTGGCCGGTTTATGCCCTGCTTGACTGGATTGACGGTACAAGTACATTGGCAAAATGCAAGGGTGTTTCGCTGACACGAGCAGCCTCATTTGGAGAACAAGCAGCCGGAGGCTGATGCCCTCAACTGTCAAAAAGAGATTTGATTGGTCAAATCATTTACCGTGTTCAACTGGACACACTATTGATAGCAAGTCTCCATAGCCAGCCAGTATGGGCACAGTGGTACTCTAGCTAGAGTTTAATGCATAGCTAGCTAGAGGATAGACCCTGTCCATTGCAAAGCCGTGTGGTGGTGTTGGTGTTGGCAATTGATAGAGAACACAGTGCGGTCGAAGCAGTGTCGATACATACGTACTTGTAGTGTACCATACAGTCCGTACCTTTACGATGTATCAGTGTACTAGAGGAAGGACGCACAGAGGTGCTGCTTGCCAACATACGGTATCATAGAGGTGCGAGGAAGAAAGATAGGGTGGATAGAAGGTCTCAATAGAGGTGCTTTTCATTGCTGTCATGTGCTTGGGGACGTACAGCGCCATCAGCTTTCACTCGATAGACCATGTACCGGTTTACCGTACAGCGATATCCTACGTAGACTCAGTACTAGAGCCTACGTGTGACGTCATATGGTCTTAATCTGCAGGAAAAAGAATTCGCTGTAGTGGTTGAAATCTTCAACGCCGTAACTCCTCTTCTAAGTACACTCTGAGGTTGGGAATTTTGTGGCATACTCAACTACATGTGTTCTCTCGATTCCCTGCTTTAATAGTACAAATTCGATATCCAGCCCTGAAGAGAATATTCCGCGGAATGGTCGGTCTTAATGCGCAGATCACTCTACCTAGGGGTAGCTAGCTAGGCAGAATGTAAAGTAGCTATCCTTGGCAGTCGGGATCCGAAAGACGCCTCAATCTAATAGTATCAGCTCACAGACTGGAGGAATAAAGCAAACGGTATGTCGTTTATGACCTGTTGTCCTCTGGCTACTGTTGCTTTCATGTTGGTATCAGAACCTAGCTAGAAACCAAACCAGCATTTGCTGGGTATGGTACGGAACAGCAAGGGACAGACGGGAGTGAATCAATTGGCAAGGCAATACACTGTATTGTCACAACACATGGTACAGCAATCAACAGCACACTCAATTGTGGGAACTCAAGTTTCTGTGCTGGGCAAACAGTCAGCCTCCAATGCAGCTTTCAAATGATAGTCACCACGAAAAAGGTACACTTGATTTTGGCAAACAGACTCTGGAATAGTGCCTGTCAGCTCATTCTCATTCACCCGCAATAGAAGCAGCTTTGTTAGTGCGCCAATCCCATTGGGGATTGTGCCATGGAAGTTGTTACTAGATAGGCCCAGCCACTCAAGGTCACTCAAAAGACCAAGCGATGAACTGATGGTCCCAGAAAAGTTGCAACTGTCCAACTCCAACGTCCTAAGAATGCTGAGTCCATACAATTCTTTAGGGAGTGTCTCTCGCATGTTGGTGTATGAAACCTGCAAGTCTTGCATTTGGCTTGCCAGACCAATCTCTGAAGGCAGGGATCCTGATACACTGTTGCCACTCAAGTCAAGATATTCCGGGTTGGCCAACAATCCAACTTCACTTGCTAGGGTACCAGTAAGCTTGTGATGGCAAGAAGCAAATATGAGGCCATGAGCTTCAAGCAAGCATGGATGCTCATACCATACCACAGATTCAGATACTCACATCATTGTCATTCAAAAATAGCCCCACAAGAGAGCCCTGATTGAACACTTCCACTGGCAAACATCCTGTCAGTGAATTGTTGGCTAAAGCCAAATTCTTCCAAGGGATTAACCCCAGTTCTGATGGAATTCTCCCAGTCAGTCTGTTTGAAAAGGTTTCAAGATTGGTAAGTTTTGCAGCTTCTTCAAACCATCTTGCAGGGATGGGTCCTGAAAGTTGGTTATTGTTCAACGCGAGGGACACCAAGGCAAGGCCTGATTGGTTGGTAAAAAGCCTTTGAGGCATCACTCCAGTCAGCATATTGTATTTTAAAAGAAGTCTTCTTAGCTGTGGCAATCCTGTAATCTCCCATGGGAGAGAACCATTGAGTCAATTCCACTCTGAAGAAAATATTCCTATGGGTAAGAAATCAATGACACAGTCCACTCCTGTGGCCAATGAGACTTACGAAGCCGAAGGTCCACAACCTCTTGCTCTTCTCCTTTCCCAGTCTCACAAGCGACTCCAGCCCACTGGCATTCATGACTGACATTTGAGCCACCAATCCCCCCAGATGTTGTTGCTTGTTTCCCCCGTCGAAGAATCCAGTGCATAACAGAAATTGGCTGATATATTCCCCTGAGAAGTTGCTGGTAGATTGCACTCTTTCCATGGCCTGTGCCTTGTGGTTTGATAGTAGAAAAGCACCAAAAGGAACCTCTGAATTAAATTTTGGAGCATCATATTCCAATTGCAATGGATCCTGATTGATAATCCAGTTGAAAGATTTCTGCCTTGTTTCCCTCAGGAAATCAGTTAGGTCGCCCTGATGTCCTTCTCCAGATTCCTCCACTCCATCAAAGTAGTCCTTTCCCAGGATGGTAGTTAGGTCAATTTCCATTTTGTGTGCCTGAAGAATATCTCTGGAATTTTTTGAGGGCTCAATGGAATCACTGCTATCACATAAGCCAGCACCACAAATGGAACCGATAATGATTCCACAACTGAGCAAAAGCAAGAGCAAAAACCTGCAAAGCGAAACTGATACTTCCGAGTAATGGTTTGCCTTCTATGGGTGCTGTCCATTGAAAGATGAGCCACAGAATGGGGTTCTTCGACATCATCCACTGCCTCTGCTTCCACCAATTCTACTGCATAATTTGTTGTTGTTGTTGTTGTTGTTGTTGTTGTTGTGTGTTGTGTTGTTGTTGTTGTTTGTTTGTTGTTGTTGTTGTTGTTGTTGTTAGTTTTGTGCTTGTCGTCGTCGTCGTCGTCGTCGTCGTCGTCGTCGTCGTCGTCGTCGTCGTCGTCGTCGTCGTCGTCGTCGTCGTCGTGAATTGAATTCTCCTGTTCGGACCCAGCAGAGTATGCTTCAGCTTGTGACAGCACCTGCTGCTGTTGCTACTGAATCCCTTGCACTGTGAGTGCCCCTGACAGTGTGTTACGCACCGCACGGGACCTACACAAAAGAGGTGGCACTGTTGGAGTTTCCTCTCTTGTGATATCTACGTCTGCTTCCCTTGGAAATTGACTTCTCTCCAAGGTGGGTTCATTGCTGGCAGCGACGGCTGTGCGGACTGTTTCTCACAGCCCTCTTGTACTGGTACCTGTGCCGGTATCGGTGGGAATGGCAATCCCCCTGGCTCACCAACACGTCCACTTTCGCTGTTAGGGGAGGCAATAGAGCTATCTTTGGGCGTTGTAGACATGTTGTCCTCTACGTCATCTTCAGGAAGGGAAAAGGCAAGCAAAAAAATGTGGCAAAAAGGGAAGTGGCGAGGAGGTTTAAAAAAAGAATGAACTATGGAGAGAACACATTGTGCCGTTTCGTACCTATTACGTAATACCTCTGATGTGAGAAAACACAAGTTCGCTACCTCTAACAGGTTGACATGTGCGATCGACAAGGTGAACGAAGAAGGTTCTATCGTTCGTACCAGTGAACGACAAAAGAAAAGGTCACCGTCTTGGTTCTTAACCTCGGCAGGTAAACTGCCTGAATTCTCAACCCCTTTAACCTCGGCAGGTAAACTGCCTGAGTTCTCAACCCCTTTAATGCTATTTCCTATGTCCTATTTCCTATTTCCTATTCCGGTGAAGCCAAAGTATAAGGATAGAGATAGTCATAAGCCAACAAAACTGAACATTGATGGTTCAATACAAGTTAGGGGTAGGAATAAATCATTAATATTTAAGGTTAGTGCAATCAGCACAACAGCACAATAAGCCAGCAGAATCTGTAAAGGTTAGAGTTACAATAAGGGAATGGCAGCTGGTAAATTATAGTCGGGTGTTGTCGCCAGAGCTAGCTTAATAAAAAGAAGGTTGCAATGAGGGAATGAATGATACCGGGCGGCAACACACGACGTAGTCGGGTGTTGTCGCCAGGGCTAGCTTGAAAGAAGGGTGCAATCTCGAACATGATCCTCCTTCTGTTGGTTTCTAGTAACACTCTAGCTTAGTAAAGGTAAAAGGGTTTTACTGTTAAGCTATTTCCAAGAAGTGATCTTTCTCCATGTTTTCTGGGATTGATTCAGCTTCAAAGGATATAGTGAAGGGGGTGACCATATAGATCAGTTAAACTCCCCATGTATGTAACTAGAGAATAGATATAGATATCCCCTATAACTAGATTGGGATAAACGAATAATTTGTATTGAGGTGTCTGTAATACAACCTCCAACACACTCCTGCACGGTTCCATAAAGGATACCGTGGAACGAATAATTAATGTAATGATGGTTGCTCCATAAGGAACAGTTGTTGGTCGAGAGACCATTTGCTAGGTTGCTCGGCATTCCGCTTGGTGGCGAGAAGCTTGTCATCCATAGCAGTGCTGACAAATCTGTCACAGTCAATGTGGACATGTGGACAGTGTCGTCATGAAAAGCCACTGTGGCTACCACTCCTGTGAGTGTTGCCACTCCTGTATGACTTGCTGTGGCGGTTGGTGCCGTCACTTGATGTTGCTGTATTCGAAACTGGGAAGTTCCGATCACTTGTTGAACCGTGGACTGGGAAGTTCCGGTCACTTGGTATTGCTGTAGCTGGAAACTAGGAAGTTCCGGCTGCATTCTCGTAGACTCAAACTGTGCTCTTGACTGGCGGTGTAGACTGAACTGGACATCGATATGCCATGGTCTCAATCACCAATGATGTGTGGAAACATCAATCCATTCAGGCTGATACTGGATTTGGAAATCAGGTGAGCATGGAGTCTGTGCAATAGCTTGGTAGCTATCTGGAGGCAGCTTGTTTCCATTGGAATGGAACGTGATCTGTCTTTCTTGTTGGATGTCAAGAGGTGTTGGATGGTACTGCTGTTGTCTTTTCCAGAGAATGGAATCCTTTCTTCCCAGCTGGGAAGCTTCTATCCTTCATCACGGCCTCTTCTTCTTTGGAATCGAATGTGCTGTGACTTGTTGTACATGAATGTGTGCTTGCTGTGATGTGGACCTTGGGTTTCAACTCTTGTAGATGGGTGCTGGCAACTTGTTGGCGTTCCGTCGAACTGTTGCTTGCTTTGAGCGTTCCATGGTGGAACTGTTCCTGTGGAAATGTGGGAATCCTCTGCAGAAGTATATCCCGGTAGCACTGGTGTGTACTACCCTTGCTTGAGTAACTTGCTCTGCCTTGAACTTGCTCTGATAGGCTTCTGTGGTCACACTTGCAATCTCATTATGGATCTTCTGAGTCGAGCGAGAGTCAAACTGAAACGATCTCGTGGTCGCTGCTATGTGATTGATCGCTTCGTGTCATTCGATCTGGATGATCGTTTCTTGTCAGTCGATCTGTGGTGTCAATCTGGATAGATCGATCGGAGAATTCAAAGGAAGGTTGAAAAAAGGTTTGAGACTTTGTTTTGGTGGGTACAACTTTACAATACCACTCCTGCTGTCACTGTTGGCACACTCCTGTGAGCTAGCTGTGGCAGGACTTGTACTTGTTGTAGCCAAAGCTGGCTTTGGTTTGGACATTGGATGCACTTGGATTGCTGTGGAGCTTGAGGCGGTGCCTCTAGAGATTCCTGAGAATCGATAGCACTCAAAGTGTCTATTCAGTGCTGGGATGGTGCCACTCCTGGAAAGACTGGTGTCGGATGATACCGTCACTTGGTGACACCTGCGGCTCGGACTGGGAAGTTCGGCTGCTTGGGCACTGTGATGGGCTTGGAGAACGCCTTCGTAGAGAAAGCTGGTTGAAGTTTCTGGAAGTCGTAGACTTGTTGGGAAGTTATGCCCTATTGGAAGTGGCATGAAGCTGGAAATGAAGTAGCTTGAGAAGTCACGGACTGTTGGTTTCGACTGAACCTAGTTCTTGGATGGTCTCGATGTCTGAAGTATGGAATGAGGAAATAGGTTGTGTTTTGTTTCCTCTTGTCAATGGTTTTTATACTCTATGTGAGACTCGTGACTGCTCGGTGTCGTCACTTGTGGTGACTTCCGGCCGGTACCGTCACTTGGTACACTTGGTACCGTCATTTGGTGTTGCCGTAGCTGAGACTGGGAAGTCTGGCTATAGCGACACTTGGGAGAACTGTTGTAGTAGCGTGAACTAGGAGAAGTTCCTTGCCACAATGTATGCTCTTGAGTTGGGGCTGGAAGCCCTTGGAAGTTTGGAAACTGTAAGGAAGTATTCGGTAGTAGTTGTGGGATGCTCCAACTTGGATTGGGCTCCACTGGACCTGGACGTGTACGGTCGACGATGGTTCGGTGGGTTGATGTAGTCGTAGACCTTTTGTTTTGGGTTGATGCCACTGCTCTTACACCTCTGTGAGATGGCTGTGGCCAGTAGTTTTTCGTTAGTTGATCTCTGTAGGCTTGATTGTTTACTCGGGTACTTCTGTGGTGTGAGACTAATTGGTCAATCTCTGTACAGTAGTGCAGTGAGCTGAGTGGCACCCTCTGTGTCTTTGATCAGCCCTTGTAGGTCAACTCGAATGCTCCAGCCATCTCGGGCTTGGTTCTTGTCTGGAACTTTATTCTTGCTAGCTAAGCACTCAGTTTAACGTTCACTGTCGTTTGCTGGGCAGTGCTTATGTATTGTAGATGCAATAATTTGTGGTCGATTCATTGTAAATCGTTGGTAGGGTAGATAACGTTGTGGCTGTTGGCCATCGATGCGGCTGTTGAGTAAGCCATTGATGTGTTGCCGTGTATTGTGGCCACAATGGTGGGTTCGGCATTGACCTATAAAGTGGATGTTATGATTCATTGTGTAGGATTGTAGGTTTTGGATTGGGTACCCTCACACGCCTGTGCACTGCTGTTGGATTAAATAGCAAGGCATGGACTGAATGTATCTGTTGCCTACCTAGAGCTGTGTTGCCTCAGGTTGCTGTAATCAGTGGAGGAAGCTGGATTAGTTGCACAATACACATCAAAAGGTAGTAGGAGGTGCTGTGGCGGATGCCACAATACACACTCCATGAAAGTAGTAGGAGGTGCTGAGTGTAAACCCAATACACACTCCAAAGAAAAATTCAATGCTGGGGAAGCACTCCTGCTTCCTGTAGCTTGCTGCTGTGCACTGCACTGCTTCTGTAGCTCTAGTGTGCAGCTTGCGCTGCTTCAGTAGCTCTTGCGCCAGTATGTAGCACTGGACGTGCTCAGTAGCTACCGGTAGCTAGCTAGCTATCTGCATGGCATACTGTACCAGTAGCGTGCGGTACCGGTAACAGCATGCTGGTGTACACTGCCGATGTGCCTACGGAGAGATCTGATTCTGAGCTTCCTACACCTGAACACGAAAGATACCTCCGTAAGTGGCTGCCGATGGGGTGACAGCTGTGTGCTTTGCCGTTCCATGGAACTGCTGGTAGTCAGCGATGTCCTCACAAAAAGCAAAGTCTTCTTCTGGCCGGACAACTGTGCAATGACAGAGGACAATGGCGCTGCTGTCGATCTGCTGTGCTGCGTAGCACCGACGGCTATGATAGCGGCGGCTTCTGTCTCTTCGCCGTAGCGGATGGCTATGGTAGCCACCGTGTCGTGTCGCCGTAGCGTCGTCGGGTAGCGTAGCAGTACCTCGCTTCGGCCGTCGATCGCTCGTGGCTGATGCTGTTGCTTGCCGACAGTAGCAGCAGACAACCGGCTAGTAGTAGCGGCACTGTCTGTGTGACGGTAGCAGTAGCCGTGGCAGAGCGACGACTGACTAGTGTGGCTCGCGATGTCTAGCGGTAGCTGCGGCGGTTGCGCTGTTCTCCGTAGCGGTAGCGACCGGCTAGTAGTGAGTAAGCAGCGTTCTTGCTTGTGTAGCAGCCGTGCTCGCGGCGGCCGACTGCTTGGATCACTGTACTGCCGATGGATGCAGCTCGCTCTGAGATCGATTCGAGTGCTTGCACTCTTGAGGGCCTGTCAGTGACAGTATTATAGCCCACTTCCGTGTATGACAGTCCTTCAGTAGGACCTGTCGTTCTCGAGTGATCGGCCTGGTAATTCGTCTTGTTGTGCGTTGGAATTTTCCTTCGCACCTCTCTTCTAGTAGCCTATTTCGATGGCTCTCTTGTTGAGGATAGGAACTCTCCCACGGAAGTACCTCTGCGGTTCCTGTTGGAACTTGTTATCTCGTTCCTCTTCCGGTTGACACAACTTTGCTGTGCGTGTCGCGCCTCTTTCGTGTTAGCTTCGTACGACCACTTGGTTCCGTAGTAGCCTTGGCTGGTTCCGGCTCACCGGAAGCCTTGTTCTTGTTGGACTCGACGTGGTAGCTAGCTTGGTAGCTTGGCTACCACTCCTGCACTTCGTCGTGCTGAGTCCTCTCTTGTAGTTGTCTTTCGTACCTGCACGTAGCAGTCGTACGATGGCTGTTTCCACTGCTCAAAGATCTTTGTGTTTCGCTCACTGCTGTGGGCTCGCTTGTTCTTCTCAGTAGCACAGTATAGCCTTGGTTCCGTGATTGCCTGTAGCTGATCTTCAATCAGTGGTAACTCAATCAGTTCTTGTTGTATTTGCCTCATTCAAGCATTGAAGAAGTGTAGTTAGTAATGCTCGTCAATGCAGTCTGCTTGTGTTGGGCTGGACTGGTCGTCTTCGTGTTGATCGGCCGTTGCTCCGTGTAGTCAGTGTGTGAGGCACGATTTCGTGATGTTGCCCTTTTCCTGCTAGGCTGTTGGGATAGCTCTCTCAGTGAGGCTAGAGCCCTTTTTGCCTTGACCGTTTGTTGAACTGTTTACCTTAGCTTGATATCATGTATCTCTTATAGGAAGATATCGATATTCGATGTCGATGTCGCCATTGGCGAGATCTCGAATTCGAGATGGAGGTAGACCTTCTTGGAAATAGTGTTGGTTTCTAGTAACACTCTAGCTTAGTAAAGGTAAAAGGGTTTTACTGTTAAGCTATTTCCAAGAAGTGATCTTTCTCCATGTTTTCTGGGATTGATTCAGCTTCAAAGGATATAGTGAAGGGGGTGACCATATAGATCAGTTAAACTCCCCATGTATGTAACTAGAGAATAGATATAGATATCCCCTATAACTAGATTGGGATAAACGAATAATTTGTATTGAGGTGTCTGTAATACAACCTCCAACACCTTCTTCTATCTGTCTTTCTGCCGAGATATCGCAGCTCCCGCTGACTTAGTTAGAAGGGTTGCTGTAACTCAATCTCTTTCCAACCTACAGGCTTTTATATTGGTCCCCGTAACCCTAAATAACATTCGCTTTGCTGCGCTCCGTCCTGTCCGGACGTCAAATGAACCGAGCGTCCTTTCTGATCTGCAGGCTTCAAAGCTTTCGGGATCTTTGATCTTTGCCCACCTTTGCTTCCCAGATCCCAGAAGTCTTAGAAAAGGACAAGAAGGCGTCGACTCAACTACCGTTAATAGCAACAGCATGGTAGGGATCAGGTCGACAAAAGTTGACGGGAAGCCAAAGCTCTGGGCAGTCCTTGTTCTTGCAATGCTTCTGTGTGCCATTTCGATTCGCTTTTTGAATCAGGATGAGGTTGTCACATCTGCCCTAATTGCCTCTTCGCAGGTATTGGAACGACCTCAAGCCCCTGTTCCCCGAGCACCAGTTACGCCGGTAACAGAAAAGCTTCCCAATAGTGTTATCAAGAGTGTGACTGACATTCAGAAGAAGAAACAAGAGCCATCGGGTGTCAAGCCTTGTCCAATCTCCCGAATTGCCAGTCTCACAGAAGCGGAGCGAAACCCCGAAAAGGGTCCGAGGCACATGGTATCTCCACCTTCGGGAGGCCCGTTGCATCTAGTATGCTGTTCCACCACCAAAGGCCCTTTCAATGCTCTCGTTCACGAAAATTGGGCCCCTCTTGGAGCCCAACGGTTTTTAGAAATGATTCGAACCGGCTACTTTGATTCGGGCGTTCCCCTGATGCGATGTATCAAGGGATTTCTTTGCCAATTCGGCTTGAATAATAAACCCCAAGTCTCGGAACGATACAAAAAAAGAATTCCAGATGATCCTCAGTGGCTTCCAGAAGGCACACAACACCGACAAAACGAACAAGGCGTCAAACGCTTTCCCAAGGGGTATCTAGCGTATGCAGGAGCCGGCAAGAACTCGCGCGACAATCAATTGTTTGTAGCCCTGGAAAATATTCCTACTTTGGCCGAAGAAGCTCCCTGGGAAGTACCCTGGGGTGAATTGGTGGGCAAGATTTCGTTCGATACATTTGCCAAAGTACACACGGGTTATGGGGACCATGGACCACCCCAAGGCAGATTGTGGCGGGAAGGAATGACAGAGGATTCTCGCAAGGAGTTTCCAAAGTTGGACTACATCACTGGCTGCTATATCGCAGACCAAGTGGCGTGAGAGCGAATGTCTAGTAGAGTATGATACATGAGGACAATTAGTTCGGGAATGGAAAGGTCAGCTTGTCCCGGGCAGGTTTTGAAAGCAGCGTCCCGCAACGAACATCCGAGCCAACACATTCTACAGCGGCAAGTCGCCTCTGCTGTACCGACATGGCTTGAAGGACATCACCATTGCATCTATGGCCTCCCGTGTTGGTGTTCCTCTGAATGCAGGAACCATCTTTAGGTTGTCAAGTTTTGGAAGCGGCTTTTCAATGATGCCTTGTCGTTGCGAAGGGGGTTGTGCAGTGTACATTTCGCCAACATCTCACCCAGACACATAACTTGGAACCCTTCTTTGAGTTGGCACTGTAGCCACCAGTTATGGAATGCAACTTGTCTTTGGACATCAGTGAGAATGAGCAGCTTCTAAAGCACAAACAACACCAGAAGCAACTATATCAAACTAGCAACTTTAGCCCATCAGCGCAACTCTGATGCGCTTTTTCGCCCAAGGTACTGCCAGCTAGGCTCACTTTGAGGAATCGGCTGAGCTACTAGTCTAGTGAAATTGATGCAGGTAATGGTACCGGTGGTAGTGCCAGCAAGCAAGCTCTGGGTCCTACCAGGTACGTTACCGCTACTCTCGCCACCAATGCCTGCCTCGGGACCGCTGGATGTCATACCTGGATGCTAAGGTTGGTTATTACGCAGCTCTGACTTGTTGATGTTGACCATGTTCGTGGAAACTGAGACTCTGATCTTCCACGTTCCACGGCTTCTTCCGCGGTCCTGCCGGTGTTTGCGTGTCACGGTTTCGCCTTGCATCTTTTTGTGGTCACAATTCGAAGAAGTGCCGTCATTGCAACCCACTCTCTCCATTATCCATTATCCATCATCAATCTCCATTATCCATCAGCTTCTACCTTTAGTTTAGCATTAAACATTATTAATTGAAGAGCCAAGATGACAGAGGCGAACAGCAAGGAAGGAGGCTCCAAGCTGGTGCAGCTCAAGCCAGTGGTGAAGGATTATGCTTGGGGTATCCGTGGAATGGATTCTCGCGTCGGTCGCTACGCGTTGGAAAGCAAGACTTTGCAGGAAATTGATCCTGATTGTCCTTATGCGGAGCTTTGGATAGGAACCCATGAAAAGGGGCCCTCCCTCTTGAACGATGGAACTGATCGAAGCTTGAAGGAAACCATTGGCAAGGATTTGCCCTTTTTATTCAAGGTACTAAGTGCTGGTAAAGCCCTCTCCATTCAGGCCCATCCAGACAAACCCACTGCCGCCAAGCTCAACAAGGAGAATCCTCAGGCGTATGGAGATGCCAACCACAAGCCCGAAATGGCCATTGCTCTGACTCCCTTTGAAGCCATGTGTGGATTTCGTCGTCTCGAGGAGGTAGCACTCCTACTCAAAAAGCATCCCGAATTTGCCGCCTGTATTAGTCAGGAGGCCAAGTTGGCCGTCTTTTTGGCGGATGAACCAGAATCCCAGCAGAGTGCTCTTCAAAAACTATTTTCGAGTTTCATGAGCTGTGACACCTCCGTATCCAAAACCAATCTCAAAAAGTTGTTGGATCGGCTTCAAAACGAACAGTCCACGCTCCACCTTCATCCCCACGACGAACCAGCCTGGGAGCGAAAGTGTTCCAGGGCTATTTTGCGCCTGGCTCAACAGTTTCCGGGAGATGCCGGAGCCATGTCACCCTTGTTTTTGAATTATCTCTTGATTGCCCCCGGTGAGAGTTTTTTCATGGCGGCCAATGAACCCCACGCCTACGTGGCGGGAGAGATTCTCGAGTGCATGGCCTGCAGTGACAATGTCGTGCGTGCCGGCCTCACACCCAAATTCAAGGATGTCGAAAATTTGGTCAACATGTTGACCTACACCATGGGAGGTCCCTCCATTGATGTCGGAGAACCTCACACGGACGATCATCGCATTTTGCGTTACACTCCACCCGTGCCCGAGTTTGAAGTCATGATTTTGTCCTTGGACCCTGGTGACATGTGCAAGCTCAAGAACCCCGGAGTCCCCGCCATTCTGTTGGTCCTCGAAGGAACGGGAAAAGTGGATGGGCAAGTCTTGCGTCCTGGTCGTTCCTATGTTTGGTATACCGAGACCGAGGGGAATTTGGACGGGGATGCAGCCGGTGGAGCAGCGACGATTGATGCGGCGGTCAAGTCCAAATTAAAGTCATTGACGTTTACGGTCGATGAAATGCGCCGTGGTGCCCTCAAGGTGGCCATTGCCCATGTCAATCTGCATGTCAACCAATCCACATGCTTCCGTCGCGTCGAATCCAACCAGAATTTGTATACCATGCACGGAATGTTGCCGTACATGGGACGTACTGGAGGAACTCCTTCTCCTGGATATCTCAAGAGCGCCTACTCGGATGTTACCGACGGTACTCCTGCAATTCCTAAACTTTAAATTGATTGGAGTTGCATGTTATAGGAGCACAATGCATCATGTTGCTGCTCTTGTTGCAAGAGAAGCAACAACAATCGAATGATGTGAGATTGAGAAGATTTGGAATTCCCACGAAGAGAATTCTTTTTCTGGTTGAGCTGTGCTTATGAGCTGGCCGCGGGTATGTTAATAACAGATCTTTTGTGGAGTAAGTAATCTAAGTGGATGTTTGGTATGTGTCTCGGAGAGGGAAGTAAATACATGGAATAATGGTAGATCGAGAAATGAAAATGAAACCTACATAGTTACAACAAGAAAACAACTTTTCATCTTTGTCGGCCGACGGTGAAGAGTCTGCCATCATCCAAAGGTGAACAGCAACTCTTTGTTGGTACACGCATGTCCCCGCTACAAACCCCGGCTAACTCTGATCGATCACGTCCCAACGCATTATTCATTCCTCGCCCTGCTTCTCCGAATCATTTTCCGAAGGCACCACTTGGCTTTCTTCAAGAGCTGGTTTGGTATCATCATCGTCACCACTCAGCAGATCTTTTGGGGGCTCCTCCGATGTTTCGTCCGATGTTTTTTCGGTTCCCGCCTTTTCGTCCGACTCCCCTTTGTCTTCTTGCGACTTTGTCGCGTCACCATGAGTCGTCTCTGGCCCATCGGCTGTCGGCTGAATTCGTTCGGACAACAATCGTTTGACACACTCGCGCACTTTTGTCGCGTAATCGTCCAAGATGTAGGGTGCCCCGGTGACAGGATCTTCCACGGTCGGATCGGCCACGGTCCAGGCATTGCCATCGCAATGCAGATAGGCACCTCTCATGTGGCTCACGGACCCATCGTTAAAGATGGGATCTAGAACGGCTCGCAAGGTCGCACGCGCCGCTTGTCGGGGGGAGAGTTGGAACACGGAGAATCCCGTTTGATAGATGGTTTCGGCAATCCCCAGTGACTTTTTGCTCGACGACGAGACTGATCCCGGGTACACGCTGACAGGGGCCAGCGATGGCTCTTCCCGTGCCAATGCAATTCCATCCGCAATGACTGCCATTCTACTTCGGTAATACATGACGACGGGTCCATCGAGTTCTTCGTTTTCGACATAGACTTTGACCGCGACATGAGTGTTGTCGCCGTCTTCATTGACCAGAGTTTGTTGCAACGTCCCATCGGGAGCTCCACCTTCTTCGGGCATGTCTAGAAACCGTTCGGGATCGAAATCGGTGCCTTGACAATGCCCCACACTGCTGACCTGCACAATGCGTGGTTTGAAAGTGTCTGTGGCAGCCTTTTTCAAGCAGGGAAGCAACTGTTCTGTCAAGAGGTGAGGAGCCACAAAATTCCGTGCCACGTTGATTTCAATGCCCTCTTTGGTGGTCTCATAGGCCACGGTAACTCCCGATGGATTGTGGATGAGAACCGGAATTTGTCCATTGTATTGGAATTTTCCATCCTTGCTGCCGTTATTGGCAATTTCCATGACATCCTGTGCCGCTTGCATGACCGAGGAGAGACTATTGTCGTCGTATTGAATCTTGTAGACGGTCGGCTTGAGGTAATTGGTGTTGTTGGCGACTCCTCGTTGTCTGGCTTCTCGTAGCAACGCTTCTTCCACTTGTTTCAATTTGCTCAATTTCTTTCCACTCAAGAGGATCAAGTGCATACCCAGGGAGAGCGCCAGTTCTTCTGCCGCATGATAGCTCGATCCATTCAGCGCAATGTTCGTGATCACGGCCAGCTGCTTATTGAGGGGTCCCTTGACGGCCGGTGCTTCTTGGAGGAGACGGTTGACATACGTCTGGGCATACGGATACGTCCACGTGTTCTGGAGGGTCCAATAGAGCTGCGTGTTCTTGGTCAGGTAGTATTGCCGGTCGCAGTGCGCCTTGCTTGCCACAGTGTCGTTGTTTCCCGCCGTCATGGTACTTTCAAAACTTTATGCTTTCTGTGGATAATGAATGAATGGTTGGTGGCGCTACAATCTATATGTTGACAGTGATGGCAAGGCTAGCTATCATACTGTAGCTGGAAGGATGGTTACTACATACATGAATGAGCTCTCTACCAGCTGCGAAACCAGTAAAGCAAAATTAGACAGGTAAAGTTGACTGAGGGCACGGAACAGCATGGAACCATCCAAAAACAACACCGTCATTTGAATCCAATGATTCCAATCAAATCTCAATCTCTCCACCCACCTGATGGATCTTCCCCGAGAAACTGGCTGGTTGACACAACATCACATAAAAATAAGCCATCAAACCTCTTGTTTTTGTTGACACACCTCCCTCCTCCATAGATGGCCACTTTGTCACACTCCTATCAACATCTAGAGGATGCTTCCATAGTCAACTTTGTCAACAAAGCCATGGTAGTCACAGCGGTTGTAACTAGAAGTCTATTTTGTGACTATGTAATTGCTCAGCGGCTAGTGAACTGGAGGTGTCCGTTTTCTCTTGTTTTTGGACCTTCTACCAACAGTGGTGGTGGTGGAAACCATTTCCAAACCCCAGACCAATGCCCAGACTATCCCTTCTTCCCCTGATGCCGCCATTGAATCTAGGAAGCCAAAGGTGTCCGAATCCGCACTTGTAATATGTGTCCGAATCTGCACTAGAAGAAGAATCGCCACAGAGGTACTTCTGTGGGAGTTCCTAGCCCCACTATCAGACCATCGAATCAGTGCTGGTAGAGGAGAGGTGCGACAGACGAACTCCGACGCGAATAAAACCAAGGCAGATTATACGGCATCGGCAGGTCCTACGACAGAACTGCCAAACAGGAAGTTGCGCTTTGGAGAATGAAAATGCGCCGAGCACGAGAAGATGGACGTGACTTCGAATGAATTTTCCAGAAGAAACAAGAGTAGCCAGTCAACCAATCTAGCTAGCTAGCTAGATAGATCTGATAGAAAGATTACCGGATACGGATTTCTCGTAGGCAGTTACCAATAGATGCATCATGGTCTACCTCTGCCAGTGCTTGTTTGGTGGGGTGTTCCATTGAGAAAGCTATTGAGAATTAGAGAGGCTGAAAAGAATTATAAAGTGCTCTTGGAAGATTTAATTGGGTGTTCCTTAAGTCTTCAGCGGTAAAGTTTACCTGTCTTCCCGCTGGTAGCTCTCGGTAGACTGGTTCTTCTGATCTTGGATCCAAGCTCGAAGGCTGCGTGCAACCGCAAAAGAAGCCAGCGCTTGGGAGAGGTGTCTTTCATCCCGAACCCTACCCGTTTGGAGAAGGCAGGCAGGGTGCGCAACGTTTTGGGTACCGGTAGTTTTCATTCCTGCTGAAAATGTTTGAAGGCTTCTGATTGGTTCTGCATTTATTCGGGTTTGACTTTTATTCGTGTACCACTTTTACGATCCATTCCATTCCCACTGCCACCAACAGAGTTTTTGGCAAAGGTCCGCTTTGTCAAAGCTCACAAACCCAAGCAACCATCAATCAAAACGCAAAACAAACAACACAACCTACGATACAACCTACGATACGATAATCATGTTGACTACACGAACACAAGTCCGTAACGACCCCGAGTTCCGCTCTACTGACGCTAGCGAAGAATATGAACTGGGCAGTAAAGGCGAGGTCAATGGAGCTGCCGTAGCAGGAGGAATTGCCGGAATGCTGTTGGCGGGCCCTGTCTTTGGTGCCGTGGCAGCGGCCGGGGCGGCCTACATGGCAGCTTCCAAGGAAGGTGACGCGGGCGATTGGGCCCGAAAAAGTGGCAGTGCCATGAATGATCTTGGAAAGAGTTTGGTCAAGGTGGAAAAGGAAAACAAACTGTTGGACAAGACCTCCCGAAGCCTCGTCCACGGGGCCAAGTGGGTTGAAAAGAAACTGTCATCGAACAAATCCCAAGCAGATGCAAAGCGAGAGACAGAGGCCAATCTGATAGCATAGAAGATATAGAGAGACTTTAGTAGCTTCCTAGCATCTTTTTTCTGTTTGATTTTCTCCTCGTGGATGAGTCCTCTTACTTTAATCAAAGTCCTGCCATTGTAGATTTGATTCTTCACTTCATCAAACTAGCTGCCTTACCAGTGCAAACTGACATTCCGAAGGGTTCGTTGGCTGCCTGCTCTTGTAGATTTGATTCGATTCTTCACTACTAGTAGCTAGCTAGATCAAACTAGCTGCCCTACCGGAACAAACTGTTGGACAAGACATCCTGAAGCCTTGGGCCAAGTGGGTTGAAAAGCAGCTGTCATCCAACAAGTCTCAAGCAGACGCAAGAAAGCGAGACACAGAGGCCAATCTGATAGCATAGAAGATAGAGAGAGACATTGGTAGCTTATTACCTGGTAGCATCTCTTTCTGCTGCTGGCTTTTCTCGTCGTAGATGAGTCCTCTCGTTTTTTAAAAGTCCTGCCTGGACACTTGGTTGGCTGGCTGCCCTGCCCATGTAGATTTGATTTGATTAATTTTGATTCTTCACTACTATGATACATCAAGAAACTACCTGTGGCCATCTGCCAGCAATACCGGTACTACCCTAACATGCGCACAGCTGCGGTATCTATCGCTATCTGGCCATCAAATACTATATATTGCAGGTGTCAATAGTCAAGCCCACCCACACCCCTTGCATGCTACCAGGTACCGGTACTAGCTAGCTAGTAGCTACACTGTAGTTAAAATCCTGACGGGATTGCCGCCCATCGTCTTGGCGGCTTGGCGGTTGGCTCTCCGCGGTCTTGTGCAGTCTCATCACCTCCTTGCCCCGTCGAGCCGTCGAGTGAGTACTAGCTAGTAGCTGACTGGGCAGTCGAGTGGACATTCATTCATTCGAAGACTTGCAGGCCATGGTGCCATCCTTGTAATAAGTAGGGCAATGTTGCTCTTCCATAATTTTCAGTTTAATTTTCCTTTGTCTTCCATGGAGTGCTGGCTTGCTAGCTTACGGAAGCCTTCCCTCTGCTACCCCACAAAAAGAAAGAGGCGCAGTCGCAGAACGGAAGAAACCAATCAGCCAACCAAATGGTTTCATTTCTTTCGCTGGGCACGGGTTGGCTCTCTTGCTCTCATGCCCACTGAAACCAACATATTGCCCAAGATGGCTCGAAGCCTCCAGGCTAGTCTAGCTATCATCTCCTCCCAAGTCAATGGCAGCATTATGGTGTATATTGCCCATTATTTTGTCAATGCACTCTTGAAACTACAGGGCCTGTAGTAGCTTCGGTACCGTAGCACTACTAGCTAGCTAGCTAAAGAGCACAAGACCACAGCTCGGAAAGAAATTCTAAAGGCAGTACCTCAGTACACCAGTTAGTTGGCTAGGTAGAAACTCCAGTTCTAGATCTTGAATGGTTGGCTGCGTTGTAAGTTGCAAGCGGCCAAGCAGTCAGCTTGGTTGAAAAAGCTGATAATATAGAGGGAATGACCAACCGATGCGAAGCTGCCTGGGCGATTTGTGGCGGCCAAACTCATCCAAACCCCTCCAAGCTACCGTGTTGGTGGCTACGAAATGAATAGATGCATTGGATCGCTCAGTTGCTACTGAATGTAACAGAATTTCCCCTGCCTCTGCCGAAGGGCTGTGCTCAGTTGCAGTTTATCGTAGCTAGTTTCGCAATCTATGGTAAGCTTTGTTTCGAATAGGTAGGGGGGTGAAAGATTGATTATAGTACACTATTAGTAATAGGGAAGATGTATATAGGTATGTAGAAGTCAAGGAATGGAGGAGGAAGCTGGCCACTTTTAAGCAGCAGGAGCAATGTTCAAGTTTACACCCGAAGAGAACATGCAAGTGCTGGTGTAGAAGAACTCATAGTCTTCCAGCGGCACAACATCTTCTGCAGCGGCATGTCCCACGAGATCCACAGCCAACAAAAGATGATCCCGTGCTTCCTTGACATTGTGACACAGGCTGTGGAGAAAGCCCAAGTTGGTAGTGATTCCAAGGACCAGATATAGGACTTCTTCGCGGTGTCCATTATCCCAGAGGACATTGGCAGCCTTCAGGGCAGCTTGGAACATTTGCAGGACAACGGCGATTTCATGTCGGCTTATCCGGCGTCCCTTGTACTGAGACTCGAGCAGCATGGAGAGAGCGAGGTTGTAGAGGACAATCACAAAGGTGGTGGATGTATTGAGGGATTCTTGGGCGTTCTCGTCCACTTCGAATGCTCGAAAGTAGCATGGGAAGAGGTTATCTTGAGATTGGAACAAGGAGGCAGTAAGGAGGTCGGGAGACACGGAGATACCGTAGATGGATCCGTATGTAAAGCAAGACGCAACGTCGTCTTGGGGAGCAGCGGCGTTGTTTTGGAACTTGATGAAAGTCATGTCAGATTGCAGGCGAGTCAGAGCTACCTTTAAAAGGCGGGTAGCTTCACATGGATCGCCTTCTTGGAGGCACTCAATCGCCCGAGAGTTGCATTCGAGGCAAATAGAGGACGTGCTGGAGATGGTCATGGTGGACTTCTTTTTAGTAGTTGCCTGGATGAACTGGCTGGAGTTGAAATTGAATGGGTTTTCAAGGCGTTGTGGAGTTGTGAACTGGAAATTGTGAGAAGCGGGGTATCCGCGTATCCTTCGAGAAGTCGAGATCCGTGAGTCATTCCCGTAAGATGCTGAGGGCGGGATGATAGTGGTCAGACAGATACTCTAGAGTACAACACTTCTTGCTTTTGCTACGCTTGAAAAACCCGGGAAGCCAGTCTTCGGCTTCTTACCTCTTGTACTGAGATCAAATAATTCATCGGTCGATAGATGAAACGACATCCTGTCGATGATCACAGATTTAACATTGATTGAATCATTAGCAAACACACTGATCGTCGATCGATAAGCGGAAGGCCAATCTTTAGAAGGCGTGAGCTAAGGCGTGTTAGAAAGGAGGAAGGAGATCACTTCCTTGGACCACTAAGTCTTCCCCTCTCACGTTTGAAGATGTGTCGATGATGTACGGGTCTACTCAGTAGCCATTATTAATAGTATGGTCCATCCTGCAACCTGCCGCTGGCAAAACTAAATTTTGAAATTTTGCAAGATTGATCTTCCACGGAGCTTCCACCTTCTCTTTTAACTTATTACTGCTACACTGCCACAGCTACTCACAATCCACAGCGCAGTCTCTTCCACTCATCAAGCTTGCCAGTTTGCTTGCCAGCTACAGTACTTAGCAAGGTTCTCACCATCATCACATTCTCATGCCTAATGGTTAGTTGTCATCATTAAATAATTGAGACTACGGACAATTGATGACCACTGTCCGCTTCGGCAACACAAGTCAAAGAGACAGCAAGAACTCATTTATTTTACCGTCTTTACCGGAACTACTGAATGGTTTTCCGTGTTTCCAAAGTATTCTCGATCGATTACGGTTCTGACCCTTTCTAAATCTCAACTTTCTTCAACTGTGATTGTGTACCTGGCCAATCGATAACACTGGACCTAGACTACTGATACCGGTAGGCAGCGATAGAGTAAGGATCTGGTTGCTGGTGCTTAATGGTGCTGGTTCTCACTCAGAAGTCTAGCTATTGCTACTAGCTAGTGGCCAGCGGCCAGCTACTACTAGCTAGCTAGTACCGTGTACGGTACTAGCTAGCTAGTACCGTACGGTAGACAATCTGTGTTTGAAAGATTCGATTCGTAAAAAAAGCACTCTATCCATTGAGAGGGCAAGGTGACTGGGTACTATTAATGGTACTTTATGTAAGATGTACCGGTACGGTAACGTAGACAGGGATTAATTATTGTGCAGTTTTCACCGCTAACGGTATTGTAGCCGGCAAAACAGCACATATATATTATTATTATTTCTTTAGAATTGCTTGAAGCTCAAAGGGTTGTTGCTGGAGCCGATACCGCTAAAACAAAGAACATGTGATGTTCACCTGATGTTCAATATTTATTTTTAACCATCATATCCCTCACCAGTCCACAAGGGCCACTTTCTCCCAAATTTCCCTATTTCATCCATTGCAGATTTCTTGCGTCAGAAACTGCCCTGTAGTCCTTGAGCTAGTCCTTGTGTGGTTGGATTGGAGATGTTCCAGTAAGTCCCCAATCCCCAATAGATAGAAAGACAGTCGAAAATCAGTTTCGGAGATGTTGCTTCTTGGAGTCTCCTTGCTGCTCTCGGCCGATTACAGCCGGCCATCGTAGACATGCTGTCTTATTGCTGAGCTCCCCCTCAGTATCGACTGATAATCGATGCAATAAGATGAGAGAAAGCCACCTGCCTACCAGCCAAGAGTCAAGGGGGTGGCAAGTTGCCGGCTTTCTTGTTTCCAATCTTGGCAGCTGGGTTTCAATGGCCTCGCTGTATTTGGTATTGAACGTTGCTGGATTTAGAGCTCTTGTGTGTGTGGACTGGCATCTAGCTGTGACAGTAGCATGGCACTGGCATGTTTCGCTATGATTTACAATCTCCTAAAAAGATTTCATGAAGCTTCTTGTTGTGTTGGGTTGATAAAGCTGAGGCTCTAAAGACCAGCAGCCAGCTGTCTGTTTTAATTAAAAGTGCTAGCTCTACCGGTAGGCAAGTTGCTGCTTGTTCAAGACTTCAAACCCAGAGCTTCGTGGCCTGCTTCCGGAAGCCTAATGAGAAAATCACTTACCGATGCCGAGAACCGGAAGCAAGAGAGTTCCCATTGTACTGGAGTAGAGTCTATCTTACAAGCCCGTGGTTTCCTCCTCGGGTAACAAGCCCTGTGAAACTTGTTCCAGACGCCAGAGACACCGCCAGGAGCAAACTCAACGTTGATTGCTTCATGGTGGATGCTGTTTTGCTTGTAGCTGTAGTAGTAGCTTCGGCTTGAAAGGACAACTCGTTTCGCTTTTTCAAGCAAGGTTGGTTGTGAGCGCGGAACATCAACCATGAAAAGCAACGCTAATCCGACGTCCTTGGTCTGCTTACTACATCGTACCATCTCGGTGAAACTAACATTTCCGTGAAACTTTAGAATGCTTTGAGTCCCATTTCAAGACCTTGCGGCGGTTGGAATGCAAGCAAGAAGGACTTCACATCAAGGTCGAAGGCAAAACAAGCAATAGAGGTGCACAGGCCACACCTCCGACACGATGCTCCGTGGCAAGGCAATGCTTTGCTTTGCTATGGTTGGATCCCCGCCAATGCTCAATTCGGTCACTTTCCGCAGCAACGGCCTCAATTGATTGTTTTTTTTTGGCTGGATGCATGATGCATGCTTTTCTTACTTTCCAAACTCATCGTGCACTCTCGTTTCGGATGCTGCGGTCTCTCTCCCACAGTGGCCGGTTGTGACTTGTGGCCTAGCTAGAGACAAGAAAGCGCTAGTAGCTAGCTAGCTAGCACCAAAAGCCACTCTAGCTAACTTGAGATTGAAAGGCCTTTGGCTCTACTACCCTACTATCACACCATTGGCCTGCTCATGCATACCGATAGGACTGTACTGATACGACTGTATCCAAGAAACACCAGTTCTGCCACTGGCCATGCCGCCGCTTGCGACCTTGGCTTGTGGTACAGCTGTACTTTTACATACTAGTAAGTACCAGTGCCGTAAAAGGACGGGTACATTTTAAAATTAGGGCAGCGGGTCAATCAAAAGTGGGAAAGATCATTGAGACTTATGAGAACGTTTGAAGTCAACAATGAAATCTGTACGTGTCGCCCAAAAAAGCATGGTGTACTCAAGCGACGCTTTACATGTAATGTTGTTGATCCTCAGTGTCCAAAAAAGGCTCACAGTGTCCATCCAACCCGATGTCCGTGGATGCAAAGTTTGGCCAATGATTGTTGTCGAAGTCGTTGATGCATTTTTTGCCTCTCCTGCAATCGAACACAATTTTAGATCCAAGAAAACATGGTGCTGCTTGATTACACGAAGCATCGGGCTGAAACCCATAACCGTACTGTCTCGTTGGCACCAAACAACTCTGGAATCTCGCGAGAAACTCTTCTCATCCGAGCTTCGGTGAAGATCGAGAATCTTCGAGACTCCTTTCTCGAGTGCTGCAAGATGGCATCAGCGACTATCAAAGAAAGCCTAGAGAGCCTACAAAGTGTAGAGAGCCTAGGACGAAAAGATTCTACTTGCCCCGCCCTTGGCAAAGGACTTGATCGCAGCCGTCCCAGAGTCAGGAACGGAGGTCACCGTCCCCGTAGTCTCAGTCCGTGCATCCTCAAAGCTGGTGAAAGTCGGGCATCTGACTTTGTTCGCAAGAACAACCCCCGTGGACTAGACAAGAGCGGCTCCATGCTGGATCTGTTTTCCGAGCCGAAAAAGCCCAAGTTGGAGTTGCAGGCTGCCCACACTATGAGAGCAACCTCAGGCAAGCGGCAGGTTGATGGTGCTTCCAGTCTTGCTCGTTTTGAGCAATCAAATGCCATGCGCCGCACCGCAAGTGATGGAACGGGTGGTTTGCTCCCAAGCCGCGCCTGTAAGGGGTGCCACAATTCTGGTACCAGCAGGCATGTCAGCTTGTCTCCCGTCCGATCTCATAGAGAGCGCGTTCGCAAGGCCTCGTTGTCGCCCGTTCGAAGATCTCACGAGGGCCGCTTGTCGAAGGGGGGCAGCCTCAAGTCCAACTTGAGTAGTTCCAGCAGTGACTTGTCAATCCCTGACAACAACTGCACAGAGGCCATAGTTAGCGATCGTCGCAGTCGAAGACGATGTCGTCGCTCTGCTATGAAACGATCCCACTCCAGCACATCTCTCCTTGCCCGTGCCGGATCCCAACGCAACTTGATGTTGTTCAACGACGATGCGGCTGTTGAGGCTCGACAGTCCAGCTCTTCGACATCGAGTGACAACACTAAAGTTAGCCATACCAGCTTTGTGGGAACTCGAATCCGAAGGTTGAGCCGCTCGCAACTCATGAGTGGTAACAATCCAGCTGCTTAGACACGAGAGTAAGCCAGCCTCTTGCGTTGAAACGAGATGGTTGAATATCCATAACTACGAAATATCTATGCATATTAGTAACCGGAGTACACTGTAACTTCCGTACTGGTAGATCGAATGGAGGCATCTGTGGCATCAGTGTCATCTGTTGCAGTCGAAGAAACTTCCCACGTGCCCTTGAGCAGGGAACCAACTCTTACTCTAGAAGACGAGCTGCTGGCGGTGGTATGATGATTGTTCCTTGGATGTTGTGGGCGTCCGGGAATGAAAATCTCCTGGAGTGGTTCCAAGTGGTCTCTGGTGGTGTCGTGCACCTTGTTGGCTTCCTTCTCGGTGGGAATCAATCCTCCTTCCAAACGAACAGTTTCAAAAAATCCCGGCATGGCCTTGCCTTTGCCAATGCCTGGAGCCAAGCAGTCTGGTAAGACCTCCAGATCAATGTACTTGTCCATCACTTGGAGGTAATCTTCTGCACTGGTGAATGTAATCATTTTCCGTATATGTTCATCAAAGAAATGTTTCACCACCGAGTTCCACCCCCATTCAAAGATGGCAGGTGCACGCAATATAATGACTCGTTTCGCCACTCCCGCATAACAATCCTGGCTGATGCGTGCCATTCTCTGGAGCAACCCCAAGAGCCCCCCACGGAGATTTCTGTGGTTCAGATCTTGCATATCCATAATGGCCGTGAATTGCGTGAGTCTCTTTTTTCCACCCATCAAGGGCTCGTAGTAATCTCTCTGCCAACAAAACCTTCCTGTGGGCGTTCGTCGTCGTGTGGTCGTTAGTTCTCTGACAAACTGCGTGTATTGTGCCATTGGCTCGATCCCTCCGTATGCCAGCACCAGGCCATATTGATCTCCCACTCCAAATCGTTCGACGTAAATGGGTCTACCATCTCGATCGAGACCTTGACAGAGAAAGACTGGTAGGTATCGAAATAGAATTGGCGGAGTGTACGTGTCCAAAAAGCTATCGACGTCATTCTCCACGCGCCAATGGACCATTTTGCGAAACATGGTCTCGGCCTTTTTGACGTTGCCATATTCTCGTAGGTATCGGACCACTTCATAAGGGTCATTCTTCCAATGGTCAATATCCTGCAACAGGGCTTGGAGTTTCTTCAACGAATCCACTTCGTCCTCGGACAACTCCCATAACTCTGCCACGGCCGTCACATTCGCTTGGCTCCAAAGAAGATCTTGATCCTCAGCATTCGTTATTTGCTTCTTGCTGGATGGTTGTTCTTCTTCTGTTTCCAAAGAAGAGGAACGTCCGCTGTTGCCAGAAAAAGGAGCCATGGCAGGTTTTTGGATTCGATTCCGTGCTTCCTTGGCAGCCTCCGTGCCTCTGAGGAATTAGAAGGTTCAGCAGCCAGGGGATCAAAATGAGAGGTAGGGTAGGATCCTGATCCGGCTATCCAACGATCACCGGTACAAAACCATCCAACCGAACACCTTGTTGGCACAGACAAGTGAGTGGAAGTCCTCCAAGCAAACAAAGCCTGGCCCCGGCTGGCTTCCGTAGATAATTTCCCTAGACTACTCTAATCCCCCCTTTTAATAGCAAACAAAGAAACAAGCAACATCAACGATCACGAAGAACACGGTTGAGTTGAAGGCTTGCAGCTTCTGCAAGCTGGCAAGCAATCCTCGGATCAGCTGGCCCGTTTTCTTCCATTTTAAAACCCTTAACCTTTATTTTCCACGCTGTTCGTCCACGATGCAATTGTCCTTCAAGCACTCGTTTCCAAAAGCACCCAACATTCCAGTGTTGTTCTACACTGTGGTACGGTACGAGATTCAGACGCAAAGAGGCACTTTGTGTTACAGGAGAATGGAGTCAAGCAACATCACGCCTTGGACACACCAGCAGCAACAGCACTCACCACAAGCAGCATGAATGATCGAATCGAATCGTCAATCCACAAAACAACTCCAGGGCTGGGAACTCAGCAAATGCAGCTTCAAGTCTGGAGTCCACATGAGGGCTGTGATCACGTCCTGTGCCGCACTATAGTCAGCACCAGCCGTGATTCTTCATTCTCACTCTACTAATCTTTTCCTAGCTAGCGTAGGTTGTTCACTGACAGGTCGTGCAGAAACGTTTTTTTTTATGTACAAGTAATATTTGAATTTGGGGCTCCCCTCTGGAGGAAGGAAGGAAGTCAATTAATGCGATCAAACTGATAGATCGCAGCTTTCCTTTTCATCCTCATCCTCTTCCAGTTCTTCAACTTCATCGATGCCGTCCAACTCAAAAGTGAGGTTCTTCGGAGGGGGGAGAGGGGCCTGTTCTTCCACCAAGTCTTGTTGCTTGAGGCGGGCCACCATTTCGGCTGTGATTGCAGCTCCTTCCACTTCCCATTTGCGACGATTGATCAGTGCATAGTTCAGGTATTCATCACTACTCACTCCAAAGACACCACACTCCTTCAATTTCTTGGCAAGAGGGATAATGTAAAAGTCAAAGAAACCGATTTCACCCTTGGCCCAGCCTATTGTAGGGTCATTCGCAGCACGGCTTTCTTTGTAGGCCTGGTACATCTCCTGCAACAGCTTTTCATTCCATTTTCTATAGAAAAGTAAGTAGGTAAGCCCGACAGACAGACAATACAGAATATGAGAACAAAAGAGCCAAGGCGAATGCAAGCAAACGAACAACACGTGGTCTTCTCACCTGTAGACGTTCCAATGCTGCATCTGCGAATGAAGAAAGGGGGAAACACGTGAATCAAACAAGTTGGTACAAATGCCTCTTCTCCAACAGGGAAGCAGCAGTTTGTCCACTTACTGTGTGTGATACATCAGATGCCTGAATCAAATGCTCAATCTACAAGCAGAGGAAGCACTCATGAGGTAAAGGGGGTTGTGGATCCAACTGGGTCCAGATCGTTCAGAATTGACTTACGACAATCGTGGCCTTTCGATTCACTGTCATGTCTCGAGGCTCATTTTTCTTTTCTTCCGAAAAAGCTGTGTCCCATCGGTTGTTTCGCAGCGACTTGAGATCCTTGTCGCAAATACTAGAGGTAACGAAGACGAGCCAGTTTGTGTAAGGGGCAGCCAGAACCATACTGATGCATCGAATCAACGCATGCTTGTGACTTACTCGGTGGCCATGACACTATTCACGACGAGCTGACGGAAGCGATCTTGGTCCTCATTGGAATTAAAGAGGACGTCACGAAGATTGCTGTAGTCATCCCTGCTGAGGAGATCAAAGCATTGTCTTAACGAGTTTTGCTCCGCAACACTGCGTTCTTCAAAGCGAGCACCCAGAATGGGATCCTCCTTGATCATTTGTGTGTTGGGAACCCCGGGGTGGTCCTATCAGGGGCACAAACAGAAACACAAAGAAGGACGCGATTTGATATCAGCTTCAGTGAACTTCAACAACAAGCACGTGCCCTAAACGTGAAGCAACACTTACAGCATCATGAATCAAGCCACAAAACGCCACGGCGAAATGAGTTAGCGGATCCGAGGTGATTCTAGAGATTTGATACAAAACAGTGAGACATTCAGCACAAGAAATAAATGGACACAAGCTGCAAGCATTGCAAAGCGAATTCTGTGCTTACCCGTACGAGTGATCGTGCAGGCTGAGGTCACTGGTGGCAAGTTCTCTTTCTGAAGGTTTAACTATTCTCGACAGAAGCTTGATGATGGAGAGCGTCACATGGCTGGCATGTTCAAACTGGTCGCGGGGGTTGTAAAAGAAGTGAGTTCGGCGCTGCATGAGAGATCACCACGAGGGAAGACTAACAAGAAGCTTACATTGTGGAATGGGTTGTCGTTGTAGCTGAAGCACAAAGGGCAACGGGGAACAAACCATGTGAGTTGCTTACGTAAAGGCTTCAACTACGAGGCTCCCTGAGGACTTACAGAGAGGCGATGTTGGAAACCAGAAGGCGAAGTTCCTTGACCACAGTATTATCAATCTCAACGTCCTGGACGTTTATAGCTTCAAAGTCCACTCCTCTGGACTGTGGAAGTTCGATAATCTCGGCGACTTCGCCGAGATACGTCCTGTCATCTTTCAAACTGAAAGTATCGTTTGGACGATCAGTCACAGCGTTCGTCTGCGATCCTTGGCGACACGCGACAATCTTCTTGATCAAGAAAAGAAGTTGCTCGGTGTTCCACGAGATCAAATTAGAAAGTTTTGCCCCTTGCTCGTCGAGATCATGCGATGCCTTGCTGAGATCCGTGGTGCCCATGCTCGAGGTTTCGTCCAGCATTCTTCCCTTCCCTGCAGCAGACATAACTAACCAAAAGGTTGAAAGAACACCAATACCCTTGGCATGCACCTTGTCTTCCCTTGGCATAACCCACGACGCTCTACCTTTATCACGAAGGATCTCAGCAGTCTCAAGCGATATTTGAACCATTCCCGCTGCACAGTAGGATCAACCCAACGTAGCAAAATCAGAACGAATGATTCAATCGCGGACGATGTGTGCGGCATCCAAGACGAAAATATGTCGTACCTTCACACGTTGACTCCATCCGGGCTGCCAAGTTTACAGTGTCCCCAAAAAGTTGATAACGAGCCCTTGAGCCGCGCAGAACACCCATGACCACTTGTCCACTGTGAACGCCAGCTCTGATGTTGAGTTCGCCTGTATCAGGTCCCAAGGACGCAACTAGCTTCCGACTTAATGATCTAAACTTCTTCGTGCAACGGCTTGCAAAACGGCACATCCTTTCAGCGTGGTCCTCTTGGAAATCAGGTGCACCTGCCGACGAGAAAGACGTATCATTGAAATGAGGGAACGATTTCGGGCAGAGCGAATATGGCTATCTTGGCCTTTACGTTCACTCTCAGCTCACCTGTAATGCAAACATAGGAATCTACAGTTTTGGTGTAGGCAGTAACGAAGAAACAGTTGAGTTTTGTTCCATGCCGTTTCGAAAATGCTAGCCAATCTGAGCACTTACCTCCGATGGTCTCAACTTTTGAAAAACGAACTTTGAGAAATATCAATTTCAAAATCTTTGGCGTCTGCTTTGTCTTACTCACCTTTGTAAACTTTGTTTGCCTTGGCAATTGTGTCAAAAGCACCAAATACGGCCTCAAGGAGTTGAAAAACCTGATCGTGTTTGCAGATGATGGGACCTGCAGGGTGAGGAAGCACGGTAAACGACGTGATAGTCCCCTTCAATGCAATCCTTACCTGATGAGGCTGCCTGGAAGACGCCCAGGCAGTGAAGCCCTGTACATCCATGAAACAGATCTATAATCAAAGAAGAAAGGTTAGTAACGTATGATGAGTGGACAGCCAGACAGATTGTCGAGTCCTACCGTAGTACTGGGATAGAGATCCGCCAAGGCATGACCTTCATCTGCCTGACCCTCTTTCCCTTTCTCGCGACTGGCCTTCTTATTTGTCTTTGTATCCTCGAGTAGCTTTTTGCGAATCTGATCTGGAAACATCGTCGTCATGATTTCACCAGACTTTGCCGCGTTGAGAACAAGTTTTCTGTTCCGGATTCTAACCAACCAGTCATAGACCATGAAACCAATGAGTATGAAGGCAAAAACAACTGCCAAAACATACGGGAAGGCACTTGCAGACGTCGATGAAGACTCTTCAACCTCTGAAACCAAATCTGGTTGTTGCTCCTGAAGGTCCATAGAAGCATCGTCTAGTTGAATACCAACTCCCCATACAGTCATTCCAATTCCCGCAGTCACCAGCGTCACTAACATAGCACCTTTGGCAATGTCTATGCGAATGCTGTCCTTCCGAATAGTTTTCCTAACTTCTTCAACTTCATCTCTCTCTGAGTCTTCCAACTCTTTTTTGGCATACCTTGCGAGTCGGCGGCGGTCGACAACCACGTAGACCGCAAGGCCCACCACAATCACCAGAACAGCGATGGATACGCCCACTACTAACGAGAGATCGTTCTCCGCTTCCTGAGGCACCAGCACCTGAACATAGACATTGCTTGCTTCGGTATCCAGTGCAGTGAACGCCGAATCACAGGATTCCAGTTTGTTGCTCACAACTAAAGTCTCGCCAACTCCCTTAATGATTTCCGGGTTGCGGATATGGATCGCAACGGTTGCAACACTGGAGTTGTCATAGAGTGCAATCCTGGTGGGAGAAAGAGTATAATCGAGGTCCGTGGAAGATTCAATAGTTGGCTCGATCCAAACAGCACCTCGGAGCGGTTTCGAGCCCAAAGCAAGTCTAAACTCGACTCGATAATCGTTGGCCTGTTCCGCCTTCAACGATGTTGGCGTCACGAGGACAACGGCGTCGCGTTTCTTGCTGCGAGTCCGTGGAGCCACTCCTGATGTCCAGCCAGGAATGGTTCGGTCGAGATCAGCATAATCGTTGATCCCGTCGCAACAAATGTGGTTGGATGATTCCATGTCGTCCAAGAGGAAACATGTGTGTTCGGCTTCTTGATACCGTTGGTCAAAAGCGAAACTGCGATTCAAAGGAATAGAGTGGTTAAGTCAACTTATGGGCTCCCTTGCAAGGTTAACATCCACTGACAAGAAGATGGAAAACTTACTAGTGACAGTCTTTGTGCAAAGCACAGAACTCAGCACATTTCTCGGCACTCTCGGCACCTTCCGACCCGAATTCGGAACTAGGCTCCAATTTCTGAATGTTGCCCCCCACATATTGAACGAAGTCGAAATATAGCGAGTCCCTTCCTGGGTGGTCCACTTGCATGTCACAGAAAGTCAACTCCGACCCTTGATCGCCCAGACCACAACAAACATCCGCAAAGAAGCCGGATGTGTGATCGACAACGTTCTTGAGGCGATCCCCTACAACGATGCTCTCCAGGACGGTGAAGTTCTTTACTGCGCTTGAGGAGAGATAGAGAAGGCCTTCCGGCAGGACAATTTCTTCAAGATAGTCTGATATGTCATCAAAGGAGCCCGCGCCGATCACGAGCAACCGTGGGTTGCCACTCAAATCGATGATTCGCGGCATCCAAGCATCTTGGCCGTCGCGTGGAGGTGGAGAAAATGATTTCGGAACCACGGCCAAGTCTCGCCCATTGCAATCGATGACTCGATCTTCTGCATGGCACTCGCAGAGGTCGCAAAATTCTCCTCTTCGGCCGGCCGTGTTCACCCAAAAAGAGGTATATGTGTCTTCTTCTTGTGCCGTCGTGGATATATCAACGTCAGTTTCTTCAAGATATGACGCCATGTAGCAATCTCGTCTGTCTGCAAAGGCATACACGCATCTCGAGTCTCCCAAGCACAACTCTTGGCATTGTTCCCGGTCAATAAACTCTACCATTTGAAACGAGCCTCCGTCATTTCGAAAAAGCAATCCCTCTTCAACCGTGATATCTGTTGTCTTCAACCCCACTTGTTCCTGCTTGCCAGATGATGCTACCATTCTGCCAACCATTAAGGTTCCTGAAACAAAAGATCCAACTGTACCTTGGGAGTCCACATTAATCTCAAGAGAGAAACCCTTCATGTAGGCTCGATCCAGAACACTGTTGTGCACAGATCCTACCCAGCCAGTCAGCCAAAAAGGGCTTGATGAATCATCAGTCCCTTCCAGTTCTACACTGAAGCTTGATTCAGCGACATCATCTAAAAGGTAGCTGAATGAGTAGTATGCTTCTGTGTTCTTGCTTGAGTCAGAGCAGTTTCCAGGGCAGTCATGGCCATCGTACACAATCAACCGGAGGTGTGCCCTTCCCGGACTAGAGCTTGGCTCTTGAACCATGTAGTCCAATGTTAATTGTGTTGCCTGGGATAAGTTGTAGTAGGAGTTTGCTGGTGCAAGGTGGCCAAAACTCAGGAACCCACCCCAATCCTCTGTCTGTTCAGCCACATAATCAATTGAGAGCATTCCATCTATCAGCTCAACTTGGGTCTCATTCTCGGAGGTTGGAGAGTTGTAGTATGTTGATCTCCACGCTTGCTTTGAGAGACCATCTTCAAAGTTGTCCTGTCCTGGAGCGCCAAAGTTCCAAGGTGCACTAACCAAGTCACCGCCCCCAACACAAGCTAGGTGGTCAATGTACACAGTAGAGCTTTCTGTTTGGCCAACATCCTGTGTCTCCATGTGTTGGAAGGAGAGCCCCCAGCCCCTTATTTGATCCATGTGCAAGTCATGAATTGGGAGATTCACCCTCAGCTCCTTCCAGCCTTGAGAAGAAACTGGATTGAAGGGCCCTACAAGGACGGGCTGTAGATTTTCTGGATCTGTACAATTGACAGTGCAAGCAGCCTCATCAAACAAGACCAATGTGAATTCCAGACCCTTCTGTTCATCAGGCACCTTGTACCAAAGTGAGAGATAGGTTGCACCCCTGCAGTTGTAGGCAGGGTTTTCATCATCAACAATCCATGTGGCTGTAGTAACTGCATGAGCTGATGTGGCATTCGGCGCTAGGGTGATGCTAATGCTCTTTTCACCAAAGATCGCCTCATCTGTCCAAGACACATCCACTGAAGGGGACTCTGTTGTTGCAAAGATCAAGTGTTCCCCCTCTGCAGGCTGGTAGGGCTGGCCTGTGACATTTTCAATCTTGGACTCAAATGGCTCCAGCACATAAGAAACTTGAACATCATCAGACAGAAATGCTGCTTGATTATTGGATGCCATCATTCTACCAACCACAAGCATTCCCGAACCTAGAGACCCAACTATCCCTTGAGAGTCAATGTTGATCTCAAGGGAGAAACCCTTCATGTAGGCTCGATCCAGAAAACTGTTGTGCACAGATCCCACCCAGCCAGTCAGCCAAAAAGGGCTTGATGAATCATCAGTCCCTTCCAAATCGACGCTAAAACTTGTCTGGGCAATATCATCCAAGACGTAGCTGAATGAGTAGTATGCTTCTGTGTTCTTGCTTGAGTCAGAGCAGTTTGCAGGGCAGTCATGGCCATCATACACAATCAACCGGAGGTGTGATCTTCCTGGCATAGAAAATGGCTGTTGAACCATGTAGTCCAATGATAATTCTGTTGCCTGGGATAAGTTGTAGTAGGAGTTTGCTGGTGCAAGGTGGCCAAAACTCAGGAACCCACCCCAATCCTCTGTCTGTTCAACCACATAATTGATTGAGAGCATTTCATCTATCAGCTCAACTTGGGTCTCATTCTCGGAGGTTGGAGATTCATAGTATGTTGATCTCCACACTTGCTTTGAGTAACCCTCTTCATAGTTGTCCTGTCCGGGAGCACCAAAGCTCCAAGGTGCACTGACCAAATCACCTCCCCCAACACAAGCTACGTGGTCAATGTGCACACTAGAACCTTCTGTTTGGCCAAAATCCTGTGCCTCCCTGTGTTGGAAGGAGAGCCCCCAGCCCCTTATTTGATCCATGTGTAAGTCATGAATTGGGAGATTCACCCTTAGCTCCTTCCAGTCTTGAGAAGAAACTGGATTGAAGGGCCCTACAAGGATGGGCTGAAGATTTTCTGGATCTGTACAATTCACAGTGCAAGCAGCCTCATCAAGCAAGATCAATGTGAATTCCAGACCATGCTGTTCAACAGGCACCTTGTACCAAAGTGAGAGATAGGTTGCACCCCTGCAGTTGTAGGCAGGATTTTCATCATCAACAATCCATGTGATTCTAGGTCCCTCAACGTTTGATGAGGCGCTTGGTGACAGCTGAATGTTGATGCCCCAGTCCCCAAAGCTTGCTTCATCTGTCCAAGTTACATCCAGTTTAGGGTCATCTGTCGTGGCAAAGATCAAGTGTTCCCCCTCTGCTGGCTGGTAGGGCTGGCCTGTGACATTTTCAACCTTGGATTCAAATGGCTCCAGCACGTAAGAAACCTGAATGTCCCCTGATTGCAACCCGATGGGATTATTGGATGCAACCAATTCGCCAACAGCCACATGGCCAGATGCCAAGGATCCCAGCATGCCTTGAGAGTCAATGTTTATCTCAAGTGTGAAGCCTTTGACATTGCCAGGATCCAGAACACTGTTGTGCACAGATCCCACCCAACCTGTGAGCCAAAAAGGGCTTGATGAATCATCGGTTCCTTCCAGTTCAACGCTGAAGGATGTCTGGGCCAGATCATCCAAGACATGTTCAAATGCATAGAAGCCTTCGAGATTCTTGTTGGAATCAGAGCAGAAAGAAGGGCAGTCTTGGCCATCATAAATAATCAACCGGAGGTGTGCCCTTCCAGGAGCGGAACATGGCTGTTGAACCATGTAGTCCAATGTCAACTGGGTTGCTTGGGAGAGGTTGTAGTACGAGTTTGCAGGCGCAAGGTGGCGATAGCTCAAGAACCCACCCCAATCCTCTGACATTTGCACCACATAGTCCATGGACAGCTTTCCATCTTCCAACTGAACCCGAGTTTCATTCTCTGAAGTGTCGGATTTGTAATATTCTGGTACCCACACATTGCTGGATACTGAATCTTGGAATGTTTCTTGTTCCTCTTGCTTCCCAAACTTAAAAGCTGCGCTGACCAAGTCACCTCCTCCGACACAAGCAACATGGTCAACAATCACAGCAGACTTGTCGTCGAGAGGGCTGGCAGCATTGGCACCGGCTTCATTATCAAACGAAAATCCCCAGCCCTTGATGCGATCCAAACGCATATCGAGGATAGGAAGGTCCACCCGAATTTCCTGCCATGATTCAGCATCAAAGTGCTCGAGCACCAATGGGCCAATGGGATAGGCTTCCAAATTGTCAAACTTTGTACAGTTACTGTCGCATTTAGAGCTGTCCCACACAGTCAGAGTAATGGAAAGTTCCGGTTGCGCCTTGGGCAACTTGTACCAGAAAGAAAGGTAGGACGCCCCCATACAGTTATAGGGGGAATTTTCGTCGTCGACCAACCATGTCACTCCCGACTGGCTTACCGTTGGCACCTCAATATTGATGGCCCTCTTGCCAAAGAGAGCATCATTCGTCCACGATACTTTGGGGTTGTTCGTCGTCTGCAAGATCAAGTGCTCATCGCTTCCGGGCTCATAGTCTTCGCCTTCCGTGGCGTTTTTCTTCGACTCGAAGGGCTCTAAAACGTACGACACCTGAACTTCCTTTTCAATGCTTGCTCCCACAAACTTGGTACCCAACAGCCCCAACACGAAAACCAACTTTACTAGTAGAGATAGATGAGCACGTCCTGTCATGCTTCGGCTCGCCATTGTACTGGTGCTGTCGCGAGGATGTATAATTGCTTTTGCGAGGAAGCGACCAAAAACAAAAGTAGGACGACTAATGAGGTTATGTGGATTATGCTAGTAGGAAAGCTGGAAGTCATTGATGGGAGTAGTCCTCAGGGAACAACAACGGCAAGCGGTACTCTCGTACTTACTACAATAGCTTGCGAGAGCGGGGTTCTCAACTCGCAACATCCGTCGGCCATGTCCACGGCAGCGAGCAGTACCGGTACTAGTACCGGTACGGCTGCATAACAATTACTTGCGTACTGCGTACTAACTACAAGCAGTTGCCGCAACATAGTTGGTTGATGATTGTTTCAGTGAATGCTATCTGCCAGGTCTCGACGGATCATTATTAATTTTGTTGATGCAGCTGAGCATTGTTAGCTATTGCTTCCGAGAGGGATAAAAAGTCGAAAAATAAAAATTACTGAACCTTAGAAAAGGTAAAAACGAAGCTCCAAATGCGATAAATTGACAGTGGTAAAAATTATTATTTAGTCCATTTGGCAATACCGTTTACACAGATCCAGGGAAAAAATACCTAGATTCACTTTTAAAAATATACCAAAATTTGGTTTTAGAATTGAATCAAAATGCCAAAATATTGGAAAAAACCAATGATTTCATCAACTGAGGCAATGGTGGCAGTTCAATGCGATTACCAGGGGCAGTTTCCAGAACTCTTGAGAAAGAATTATTCACAAATACGATGTTAACCCATTAATTAATTAAAATGCCGACTAGTACACGTGTACAGTCTGCACTACAGTAATCCTAAAATGGCCAAACTATTTACTCGAGTAGCCTAATACTGTACCGCTCGGAGAAAGCCTTTCTAAGTATTCAGGACAAAGTTCGTTCATTGTGCACCTGAAGTTCTTGAACCAGCACCTGAACGAGATACCCTTGATCTTTGTGGTTATTTATTTGTGATATCTTATCTGTGCAACGTCGACATAGCTTCTAATTCCTTCTTTGAGCTGGTGAAGATCAGATGCAATCGAAGTATTAATAAGAGGTTATCCCAATAACTCTTATTTATTTGCTGTTTGCCAAAGCGGTCATTGTTCGCATCTTCGAAGACCGAAGTCATCGGTGGAGTCATTCGACCCCATGGAACGTTGGATGGTCAAATACACTCAAAACCCACATAAGAAATCTCTAAATTCAGTGCAGCCATGGGCCTTTCTTACCAAGCAGCACCATTTTGGCCCCTCAGATTGTTTCTAACAAAACAAGCCAATTTCAGCATAGAAGACTTCCTTGCAATGCTTCTAGGTCAAGCAGCCGTAGTACTTGAATACACCCAGTGCACCTGGGCCTTTTGGTCCAACTTGCGCTGGACTCGTAAATTGGGTTGGATCAAATAGAGACGGAGATCACCCAAGTTTGAAGCATTTTCATGGTGTCAGACTAGTAGTATTTATATCCTTTGAGGTCTCAATACTGGGAAGCTTTCTTACAAGGTGGTGCTATTTCAGTATCAAGAATTTCTTAACATTTTCTAAAATCTCAGGGCTCGCTTTCTTGTAGTGGAGTTTGGAGTGTAAAAGGTGTACAAAAATGAAATGCAAACTTGATTTCTACAGTACAACAGCTACGGTACACAAACGACACTTTTACAGGGGAAGCGGAAGCAAGTTTCACGTTTTGCTGAAACTGATAATTTCACAAAAGTGAAACTTTCAAAATTCGTCGAGCCCTGTTTCAGACCTTGGAGTCTTGGGAGTCTCAGTCGAGTCAAGTAAGTCGTGACGAGTCAGTCGAGTCACTCCGAAATCCCAACTCAAACTAGTTAACTCTAGCTTGTAGCCGCGGCCGAAGTGGAGGTTTTGGCTGCGCTGGAGTTTTCGTTTGTTTTCTTATTATTAGAGGCCAAAGTTGTGTAAGGTGCCAAAACAAAGGAAGCTGGGAAGAAATCTGGTACTGGTGGCGGTTTGTTTGGACGGTTTGGACGGTGTAGGCAGAGCTAAGCAGACACGTTGCAGATTTTGCCAGAGTACGGTACTGAAAGAAAGGAACCCCTGTAGAAATCTTATGTGGAGTACCGGTACGTTGCATTGCAGAATGGCCAAAGAAAGGAACCCTGGTAGAAACATACGATCCGTCTGTTTCACTACTAGCCAGCCACAGCACGAGCGATGTACGTCGAATGATCGAACGATTCAATTGTCGATTGCCGAAGGAATGCATAGAACAATCGCCCAGTGGTGGCGTCCACACTGTAGGCAGGTTGAGCTCAGGAGGCAGTAGTGCATATGGGGCTGCTCTTCCTATCCAGCAAGCCTACAGTACCGGTATGATTGAAATACTATAGTATGAATGACAAGAAGTCAAGCTGTCCTAATCAGCAAAAGCCAGTTTTGCCACCAACCAACATAATAAGGATATTAATCCCATGCTTTTGATGTTGGCCATTACGACCAGTCTGCTGCGGGCTTTGATAATGGCAACCAGCTCCTATCACTCACGGTGGAGGAGGCTTCTTGCTGTCCAGCAAAGGGCTGCTTCTTGGAGGAGGGAGGAACAGGCCATAGAAAGCAACAGCTAACTGTTATGCCGTCGTACTCACCCATAGGAGTAAGATGCCGTCGCTGATATTGGAAGAACGACACGGCAAACAGAGCTATGCAAACTGCCTCCTTTTTGTCTCTTCAAAGTTCAAAGCTGGTACGTAGACTGTACTGGAGTACCAACGACCTTGGACCCTCTTGTCCACCGACACATAGAGTTCTTCGAGGTTCGTGATACAACGAAGGAACGAAGGCACTTAAAACTTCAAAGAGCCTTTGCTAGTATCAGAAATCAGAATCAGAACTCGGAGATCTCTCTCTCTCTCAAGTAAGTCTTTGATTAGACTAATTTTGGGGTTTGGGGAGCTTTGGGATGCTTACCGAGCACCGAGCTCCTGCCGCTACCACCGATAGTTAGATGTACATTATATATCTACATGTAGCTGTGTTCTGTGTTGATGCTTTCGTTCTTACCGTTGCGAGCAAGATGTAGCAGCATCCTTCAAGCGAACTTTGCAGCCATGAAGTAGGAGAAGTTGGATTTATGAATCTATTCGATTCGATTCGTAGAGCTTCGTTGTCGCGTAGAAAGGTCGCTGCTCCGTCTCGGTAACTTACTAGCTACAGCGTAGAGTAGCGTTGTAATAGGTGATGGTACCAGTAGGTAAAGCAAAGGACTGGTACGACAAGAGTGGCGCCCTTTAGAAAAGCTTGTAGAAGGATGAAAGTGACCTTCTCATCAATGAAGACTGTGACTTTAAATCTCTGGAGCAAGCAAGTCTTAACGCATGACTTTTGGGGCCCTTCAAGAAGCTTCTCGAAGGGTAAGCTCGAAACGTGATTTTTGCTGCCTCGTTTTAGCATTCCAAGACGTTCTTGGACACTGAGAAACAGAATCAAAGATTTAAAGACTCAAATTTGACATTCAATGACACTTATTGCTATAGAACGTTAAGTAGTCTGATTCTTGCGTTTGAGTACAGCTCATCAGCTCATAAGGGCACCAGTATTCATACTAGTACACCTATTGTTAATAATGCAATAATACCACCGCTCTGCAGTCCACCACTGACCAAAAAGCTCCCAAAATCAGAATTCGGTTGCCTCCCGCGACTCATCTTTTTACAAATAAAGCCAGTGAAGTACGAACATGTAGGCACACATGTTCTAGTAGCGGACAGACATCGCCGGGTACCGTTTCAACCGGCTACATGACTACATTAGCTCCACATGTACGCTGTACATGTAGCTGGCACCGTACCTCCTCTCCTCTGTGCAGAAGTTAGGAGGAGAGGAGAGAATTTTTCTTCTGGATGTTGAAACCTTACTCCCTCTCACAATCCAAAAGACCTTTCAGTTTCAACCATTTCACCCTCCCCTTTTCTTAACAAAGCTCCATCCTCAACCATGGAATCCCAAAGATCTGACTTTGTCAACATGAACTCCGAGGCGGTGGCAATGATGTACCAAGGAGACAAGGAGGCGGCCGCCAGGCTATTATGGACTGCACTGGTTGGACTAAAGGGTCAGTTGGGCAAACCCATGGAGTCACAACCAAAGGAAGATGCCAGCAGAAGACGCGGTGACGCCGTTTCTGCTAATGCCTCCGTTGACTGTGGAGCCGCACAAACAGAGACAGAAGACTTTGACATGACCGACATGGAAGCTGTAAGCCACGAAGCACCACCGTTGCTCCAAAGTGTTTCCATTCCGTTCTGCGAGCTTTCCATGCACTCAACAAGACGAAATGAGAACATCTTCTCATTCTACCCAAGAGCCTTCACACTGGCGCAAGTCCCAGAGAACGAAGAGGACGCCACACGCTGCTGTTGCGTCGTTTTGTACAACCTTGCCCTGATCCAACATTCCCGGGCTCTTCAGAAAAAGGAAGGCGAATGTCCTTGCCAGCTGTTGGCTCATGCACGCTCCCTTTACATGGGCGCCCACGACATTGCCTGTGCTGGCTTGGGAGAAGACGACTGCCTCGACCTGTACTGCCTGCAACTGGCCTTGGCCAATAACCTTGGCCACATCCATGGACACTCGCATAACAAGGAGTATGACTTCTCCAAGATGTGCGACTGTCTGAACGGCTTGATGGCATTGATTGCTTCCCCAATGTCTCCTGACTGTGTATCTGATGATGACTACGAGTTCTTCTACATGAACCTTGTCACTTTTCAAGAGAACCCAGGGTTGTGCATTGCACCCGCTGCATAAGCTGCCCAGTTCACGTCAGAGTGAGTTACTGTTTTTTCACTTTGCATCTGCACCAGTCAAGCGATCTCCATACTACTACTAGCCTACATGTACATAAAACAAATTAGCAGTTATGCTTCCACCTTTGACTTTGCCTCCTCCTACCGTAGCTAGCTAGACAAGGAGAGCTATCCTTGGCTGCCTGACAGCTCGCCGCCTTCGACCAATCGTTCCTAGTTTCGCAAACATGATCCTGCTACTGAAGGAGTTGGGCAATCCAAGAATCCGGGGCATACATTTACATTCCGATGCAGCCGCAACCAGGAATTCATCCGTGGAGCTCCTGCTGCTCCTGCTTCTACCGTACTGCTGGCTAGTCATCCTACCGTAGTACTGTAATGGTCCCTAACCCTGGGGTGCCCACTATAATGGTGAGGGAGCTAGCTACCAGTGGACACACTGCGAGATAAGACAGGGCGAATAAGATCGAGCACCACGGTCTGTCCGTCTGTCCCGTGGGAGTCACTAGGGCGTAATAGCATTTGTGTCGTGCGAAAAAATTTAAAATGTTAGCTATCCAGCGATGTATAGAACATAGTGATTGGACGTTTGGAATCTATCGTTCTATCTTAGTTAAGTTAACGACAAATCCGGCGTCGTTCGCAAGCAACGGTTTTTGGGCTCGTGACTGCCAATGAAAGCAGTCCCGAAGCCGATTTCGGTCGTTTTCTCATTACAAACAAGCTTCCACGATAATAGAAACTGACACCATGGCCCCCTCTACGATCGCTCTAGGAGCCTCTGCCGCTGTTACTACCACCACTAGACTAGCTGCCAGCCCCCTGGTTCCCTACTGCTCCATCAAAGGCCGAAAGAATCTGGAGGAAGAAGATGAAAACGAAGTCTTGTATGCTTTCAAAGAGTATGTCGAGAAAGCATTGGCTCAACCATTCTGCTACGACGTTACCACCAATCCTGGAAGGAAGAGCAAGTGCAGCTGCCTGAATGAGCTGAGGCCCGAGCTTGATAGTGATGACCTGGATGAATGTGTCAAGGGCATGCTGCTGTTTTGCAAGTATGGATTTGCTGAAAGAAAAAGAATTTTGAAAGAATGGATCAGATCAGCCATGGGAGCAGCATACATTCTTCTTGGTCATCGGCGGAAGGATCAACACCGAGTGCATCTCCTGCCAGGTTCCACCAACAGATTCATCTGCAAGTGCAATACACGGCTCTTAGCCTTATTCGCGACTCGATCCTAGATAGGGTTTGAGTTCGACTCATGACTGAGTCTCTCGTGAATAGTCATTTGAAACAGGGTTCTCAATGACCGCGCTAGTCATACTAGGTTGATGATGAAACATCGCTCTAGATATTTAGCTAGCGTGGAGTACTTCCACGCTACTAGATCCAGGCTAGACAAACCTTCCACGCGTTCCGTTTTAGGATCGTGGAAAGACGTAGGATTACTACCACAACCTACTCTATCACACTTCTTTACAGTCTCCCGCGGGAAGCCAGATCTACGATCCCTTGATGATGATCTCTCTCGTTGATTAGTTTTCATAGCTTTCTAATCTCTCTCATAACTTTCATTCTCTCAAACTCAAAACACTCGAAAGATCTTTACACTAGCTTTTAGCGTAGTGCATTTTGTTAACAAACACAATAGCTTTCAGCTACCCTCAATCTATTCCTTCACCATGAAGATGGCTCAAGGAAAGCATGCGTTCCGCAACTTCGAAAAACAGTTGCGTGACAAACCCATTCTTCCTCTCGTCGACAATGACGAAGAAAACGAGATCGACGATACTCGTGCAACCACTTGCAAACTTCGCAACCATGTTGCCAAGCGCAAATCAGAAGATTCTGACAATGAGGACAACTCCTCTATCAACTTCAATCACTTGGATGGAGAAATCTCTATCTGAGGATTAGGCCAGGATGATGACTCAACGGAACCATGTTCCGATTTCTCATACCAAAGTGATGAAGATATCTCACTAACTAGTAAACAAGAATTGTTTGCAACTGATGAACTCTACGGCAAATTAGATGATTGCCTAGAAGCTGCTCAACTAGACTCTGATGATCTACATCTGAGAAGCGCACCTGAAGGTAGGATACCAATCTACAAGGTAGGTTATCGATTAAAGGCGAAGGTCGACCCTACGATACAAATCGTGAAGGGAGGTTGCGGATTATGCACCGAAGCTTCTGGTTCCCCATGAAACAGTACTTACAAATCTGTTAAAGCATGCTCAATGATCCAGTACGGCCCGTTTAACAAACCTACACCCTCGTTGTTCACAATGCGTGTGGTGGAACACCGTGCATAACTTGAAGCATGTCTGGGTCATTGGTAATTAAAAAGGACGGCTTTAAATAGTTCTTTCCCTCCGAACAAAAATGTTTACCATATAAAGCAGGATCCAGTACCAAGCCGAATGGAAGGGCAATTCCTACTGAACGGTATGCAAAGCATCCAAAAAAACTGCAAACGTGCTTCCAATTAAGAGTTCCTAGGATACTAATCACTAAGTACAGTTCGGAAACTAGACCAAAAGAGGGGAAGATTGGGATAATATTGGGGTTAGAATCTTTAAGGATACTACTGGCGAATACTGCAGCGAGAGGTTTCGAACAACAACAATCGGGAGACAAGATTGTCATGGTTAACAGGAATAAAAGGGGGAAAAAGGTTACCGAATAAGAAACCGAACAACGCATCGATAGACAAGGTGCGGCAAGAAAACAGGGTGGCTTTGGATGCAAAACAGCAACCCGGGAGGCAACCAAACAATGACGGAAGAGGTAACAGCCGCCATGGTACCCATGCCAAAAGAGAAGGAATGAGGGGGAAGCAAGGCAAAGGACCCCCTGGATTTGGGAGCGTAGCATGCCAAATGGCAGCTTTGGCTCTAGTTTGGGAACTTGGCCACCTACAAGCCCAAGCTAAGCTTCACCCCGGGACGGCGCCTTCTTCTTCTTCTTCTTGGGGGGCTCACCATCATCTTCACCACCCATACCAAAGGCATCGATGCGGACTCGTGCAAGGATGGCCTCTTCTACTTCTTGAGCATGAGGCTGTGCTCTTGAAGCCACAACCTGCTGCCGCAAGTCCTCAAAACGTGCAAGTCCGGCATCAGTCCACCCTCCAAATTCGCAATTTCCACCTTGCCATTGGAGTACCGGCCATCATGTTTTCCATCCTTTCTTCTGCTTTGGACTTGGGACTGCCTTCTTCTCCTTGCACCTGTTTGTCAAGTCGAAGTATTGCAGGCCACTTTCCTGGCAAATTCAGAAGATTGCCTTCCTTATCCCTTGCATCAGGATCCGGAGTGGCGCCATTCTCAAAAAAGAGGACAGCCATAGCTTCCGTATTGGGAGGCACGCAAACCTCACCCTCATATGTTGCTTCCGAAATGGTGCTTGCGTGCGGATCCCTTGCCTCCACCACTTGGATGCGACAGCCACTTGTGCAAGGAAGCAGTTCCACCACCACAGCCTTCTTCATCAGGTCCTCATGAGCAGCCTTTTCTTCATCAGTGGCATCCTCCTTTGGGGGAATCAACACCTTGTCTCGGTTCATAATCTTCAAGATGTCATCCATGGAGGGGAAGTCAGCCGTCCCTTCTCCGCAACAAACTTCTTCACATGGTTGAAGCACTGGCTCTGCACATAGTTGCGGGCCTTGTTCAGATGACGACAGACCTGCTTCGCCAAAGGATGTTGAACTTGTTCGCGATTCCTCTGAATCCTAAGAAAGCAGCATGCAGAAAGGAGGCGAATGGTGTGAGATCTGCAAGGTGCACATGGCAATTGATAAGCAAAACACCCAATTCTACGTCGTCCTTCTTTGCATTGCCGGTCAGGGTCAATGCGGGTGGCCCAACTTATCCATGACCAAGTTGCACAAGAGTTCCTTCTGTTCTTGTTCATGATGAACTTGACCAGGCGATACACCTCGTAAAGCATGCAGTTATACAATGCAATCCACATGTTGTCTTTTTCATTGCTAGGGTCTCCCATCTTAACTCGCCACCTTCCGAATAGGCAAACTTTTTATCCGGACTTGCATCTGAACCACCCAAACTCACTGATGACGCTGGTGGCGGAGCCTTGGCAGTGGTAGGTTCGCTTTGACCACGAAGAGCCTTCTGCATCCTGTAGTACTCCTTTGCCATCTGCTTCCTGGTAAATTCTGAAACTCCTTTTTGGATGGAGACTGGAAAGAATCGGCTGTAGAATCGTGGGAATATTCATCCTCATCATCATCCTCCTCATCAGTGGAAGCTCACGGTCCATGAGTTGTTCTTCTTGTTGTTTCTTGCTCTTGTGCCTTCTTTCTCTTTTCCACTTCTCTTCTGTTCCGAACGGGACTTGCCACCAATGGAAGATCCTCCATTGCTGGAAGAACTCTTCTTCTTTCTTGTGGAATCAGCAGGAGGCATGTTGCGGTTGCTTGTTCGAGGCGATGTCGATCTCTAGCAAAGTGTGATGATTCGTCAAGGGGCTCGCCGGCTGGACCAGGTACAGTTTGTTCACGCTCCGTACGGCTTTTCTTCCCTTTTTGGAACGGGCGGTTGAGGACTGTCGTCTGTTGGATCCGATTGGTGCCGGGAACTTGTAGATTTGGATGCAGCACCTTGCGAACGGACAGATCGCTCACGTCAGGTGTGGAGGTTTGCTTGCGACGAGTTGTGGTGGGTGTCTTGTTTTCGTGGTAATCTCCTTGCGAATCCGTGTGATACTTGGCGTGCTTCTTGCTGCTAACTTGGGTCTCTGAGCGTAGCCACCTTCTTTGTTCTCTTCGTCACCAGTGTAGTATGTCTTCGTCGTCTTGGCCTTGTTCACCACCACTATCTGTTTGCAGGACCACAGACTTTGCCACGCCAACGACGCAATGAGAAGCCAAGGCAGGGGCGGGACAGGAGGAGGAAGGATGGTAGCAGCAGCAATGGAGGAAATGGGTGTAAGACTGAGACTGAACAAGAGGCAGAGCTTCGCTTTTTGGTTGCAAACTTCGAATTTATGAGGAAAATGACAACGATAACTCGAGGAATGCTCTTGGATTCGCATGGGTGCATGCGACAAGCCAAACATCATTGCCGTGGGTCTCCACCGTTTGAGCAATAGATAGTGCA